AGCATGCATATCACTTTTTTAAGTATAGAAATACAATAGGTGCTATAATAATATGCAAAATGTTTCAATGTATTATTTATTTTCTGTTTTTGATTAATACATAATAAATGAATACATAGTGATTCATATCCAGTCCTTTTTATGCTTGTTCCAAACACAGTGACAGTTGCAGCTGACCATTGCAGGAATGCACTGTCATCTGGTGAAGACATGCAGAGCTCATCCTGGATTAGGGTCATTAACTGTTCCTGAGTCACTGCTGGACTCTTAGCCTTTATTCAGCTTAATGTAATGCCACTTCTGGCTAACCTGACTACCCTGACCTAAATTCACAAAGGCAACAATTTTGTAAATATTATTTTGGCAATGCAGCTAATAAAAAAAAAAAGTCTAATTATTAAAAATGCTTGATGTTAAATGAGAAAATGTAATGTGCAAAAGTCATAGAGATAATTAAAACATCCAAAAAATGTATTTGCCACATATTTAATTTATTTTGTTTTTTTCAGATTGAGACTGTCCAGGGTCTGATGCAGAGCCCCACTGTGCTCGTGTGTGTAGGACGAGAGCCATCTCATCCAAGATTTGCAGACATTTTTACCAAAACATCTGATGACAGATTTCCAAGTCTTGTAAAAACGCACATGGAAGATTGCTATGACAGTATGTTTAGCAATTAGTTGCTTCCCTAAATATGGTGTTTCTTGTAAAATAAAACTAATATGCATTTGTTTGTTTTTTTCTGTGTTGGTAAAACAGCAAAGGTGGATTCTGCACCCAACCCAGTCAAGCACTCTGTGTCTTCAGACAAGTCTATACCAGATGGAACAGAATCACTTGAGAATGACTCCAGTCCCAATGCACAAGACAGATTGAGAGAAGACGACATTGAGAAAACTGTCTGTGTGAATAAAGATGGCAGCTTATCAATGGAAATGAAAGTGCGCTTTCGACTTCAGAATGATCAAACATTACATTGGTCAACACAAGTGACAAAAACCAATGAGAGATCTTGTGATCCGCTAAAATCACACAATCATCTACTTGACGGAGAATCTGAGGATATCTGTGCAAATGAACACAACGAAGCTTACATGAATAACTATGAAACACACCCAGGCTGCACTCACTGCAAGGAGCCCCACAGAGCACATTCCTGCAGCTCAGGTGCATCTGCCCAAACAAAGGTCTCCAGAACAACCACGATCGAAAGCAGAAAAACCATATCAAGATCAAGTGAAGACAATTCAGAACAAGTGGTGGAGACCGAGCAAATCTTCAAGGCAACTGAAGCTGTGGAATACTGTACTATTACAAATGGGACCTGCTCACCCAAATCCATAGAGCGGCCCCCCTCAACAGATGAAACAGTACAAGACAAACCTGCTACCGTGGCTCCAACACCAGAAAGAGAGAAAGATCAAAATGACGAGGAAGTCACTGATCGCGCTGCATCAAGGGCAGGCTCAACAAATGAAGACACACCATCAAATCATGGAGACCGAGATTCTACTGGATCAAATAAATCTTCTACCTCCAGAAGTTCCAAAAAATCTTATCCGTGTCAATGTGACATATCTAAAAATAATAAAGCACCAAGTCCAGGCACATCTGGAGTAGAACATGATGTAGAAAGAGAACAGCCAAATGCCATGTCAGTCAAAACCGACATGGTTGAGGGACCACAGTGTATAGAAGAAGAAAAACAAAGTGCCAATACAGTAAACAATGAAATTTTATCAGAAACTGAGGTTTTGAAAGATATACAAACGTCTGACAACCAAACTCAAGAAATACCCTCATGTGGTCCCTGTGATTCTGAAAATATTGAAAAGGACAATGAACAAGATGATCAAGTGGAAAATTTAGAGAGTGAAACAAAGGAGTCAGCTGGAGATGTCCCATTAGAAGCTGAAGATGAAACAGAACCAACCATCTCTACAACTCAGGAAAGCCCAGACAACATGTCAAAGGAGACTGGTGAAGAGCACGAGATACATGATCATGACAGAGTGCCAAGTGTGATGTCAGCCAAATCAAATACATCCTCAAAATCTAAACAATCAAAAATTTCTCTTAGTTCAGACAAGGAAAAAGAAAATCAAGAGAGAGTTAATAGTGTTATGTCTGTTAAATCATCTAAATCACATGGAGAAGATGACCAACCAGCAGAAGAAACTCAAGTGACAGACACAAGAGAGTCAAGCACAGTTGACCTAAATGAGACTGCAACCCCTACAGAAAGACCACAAGGTTCTGTGAAAACGTCCATAGGAAATAATGATACAGATGCTGAAGATGTTAATGAGAAACTAAGCAGGTCAAACAGCTCAATGTCAGTTAAGTCTAATGTATCTGCAAAGTCAAGAACATCTAAAAAATCTGAAGTCACCAGTGAAGTTCAAAGTGCAACTGTGGATGAAGTCTCAGAAGGACGACCACAAAGCAAGCTGTCAGTCAAATCTGCAAAGTCCGCAAAGTCAAATCGATCTGTAAAATCCAACAAAGAAGAGGCTGCTGACTGTACAGAAACCCAGTCAATCAAATCAGAACAATCAGTTAAGTCAGTCAAGTCAAACACAACAAATATTTCTCCAACAGATGCAAATCAAGACTCTGTTCCGTTAGACGATACACAGAGATCACCAACCGTTATGTCGAACAAATCAACAAACTCTAATGCAACTACAAAATCAAGTAAATCAAAGGATTGTGAAAGTGGTAATGTTGAGGTGAAAAATGAAGAAAGAGTTAAAAGCTCAATGTCATCTAAGTCAGCCAAGTCAAGTAGCTCAAAAAACTCAAAGAAAACTCAGGTCAATGAGAATTTAAATGCAGAAGAACAGACTGACAAGAGAGCTTCAAGTAGCTTGTCAGTTAAATCAGCCAAATCAAATGTTTCTCACAAATCAGAGACATCCACAAAGACAACCACCAGTGCCATTTCAAATAAGTCTGGTGCTTCAAAAAACTCTACAACAAAGTCCAATGTCTGTGAAGATTGTGGAAACCTTGTTGACAATGATAAGGAACAAAATGTAGAAGAAGAAAGCGAAGAACGAGGAAGTACACGGTCAGTTCAGTCAGTCAAGTCCAGTTGTACTGTGGATGCAAATACTGAAGAAAGACCAACAAGTGCCACGTCCAAAAAATCACAAAAGTCCAGTGCTTCAATAAAGTCTGTGAGATCAAACATTACTGAAGAACCTAATGGCTGTTTACCTACAGATACCAAGGATACTCAGAAGAGGGCAGAGAGTGCTATGTCAGCTAAATCTGTCAAAACTTCAACTTCAGACAATCCAGAAACAAATACAGAAGATGCCTTAGATGATAAAGAGAGGCCAGCAAGCACATCAAGAAGTGAAAATATAGACAGTGAAAGGTCAGCCAGTTCGATGTCAGTTTCCTCAATCCAGTCAAACATTTCTGCAGAGACTAAATCGCTTGCATCTACCTTTATTACAATTAGTGCGTGTGAAGATACATCAGACGTTCAAGACAGAGCAATAAGCCCAGCATCAGACATATCAGCAAGATCCAACAAATCAACTAATAAAGAGACTGAAAGAACCCCTAGTGTTATATCTGTGAAATCAAGAACATCAACAAAGTCAAATCGGTCTAAGAAAAGTAACAAATCTGAAGCACTGGATCAAAAGGATGAAGGAATCAGTGAACGGGCAAGCTCAGTCCTTACAGTTAAGTCAAGTATTTCAGCGAAGTCAAAAGCTACAGAAGAATGTAATGACAATGAAGACAATGTTTCATGCTCAACTGTGAGGACAGGAGATGCACAAGGCTTGATGATAGTGGACAAAAATGATGACACAGAAAGTGGTAGTGTAGTGTCAATAAAATCACATTCTTCAGTTAAATCTGGTAAATCAAAACTGACTGTTGAACCAGAAAATCAAAGGTCTTCAAGTGCATTATCAGTCACGTCAGCCAAGTCTAGGAAATCAGCCAAATCTGTTGCATCCAATAAGACCCAAGTCTCAAATATTCAAAAAGAAGAACAGCAGGGCAGAGCATCAAGTTCTGCCTCCAAAAAGTCTTCAAAGTCAGAGATAGTAAGCCAGACCACAGAAACAAGTGATGTAAATAAGATAAAAACAGAAGACATTGAAACAGTCTCAGTTAGTTCAATGTCTGTTAAGTCTGTTAATGCCAAGTCAAATAAATCAACGAGAACAATCCAGTCAAAAGTCTCTGAAAATCCAGAAACTGCTGTGGAAACTGATGGCAGGTCACCATCAGCCATATCTTCAAACTCTAAGGCACATTCACAAAAGTCTACAGCATCTAAAACAAAAGAAAAGAACAGTGAAGTACAGTCCAAAAGTGCTTTATCTCTTAAGTCAAATTTGTCAAATAAATCAAAGAAATCCCAAAATTCTGCTATGTTATTAAAGGAGAACACAAATGCACCAAAAGAAAATGTATCTCTTCTTAAAAGTACTCAGTCAATTGAAAGTGATTTGTCACAGGTATTGTCAAATTCAGAAATTCCCAAAGACTGTGAAGCAGGAGCTTTGGAAACATCCAACCAGGAACTAACCAATGGTCCACTGAAAGATAAAGTTGACCTGGTTCCTTCAAGTCTACCAAACGCATCACCTAATGAGGTTGTACATCAGTGGCTTAAAACAATATCAATTGAGGGTGATATGTGTGAAGTGGAAGATTATAATGAAAACTGTAATGGGGAAAAAACTGGCCATTCAAACAATGAGGATAATGACAATAAGAATGAGACATCACCTGATTTTCCTCAAAATAATGACGATCCCAAGATTTTCCAGTCATCTGTTCAAGTGATGAAAGTTCTTCTCAATCCAAAGCTTGACAGATGTAACAGCACGCCAGAAATTTCACCAGTATATGGGCGTAAACTGAGCACATCAGCTCAAGGACTTTTGGATTGTCTTGTAAAGTTACAGTTACTAGACCAACATCCTCAAAATGCCAATGAAAAAGATGCAAAATATCAAGAATTAATGAGTATTCTTCAGTCTCTGTGGCTTTCAGATCCAACAAATAGTAATCATGCTGGAACTGGCAAAGCTGACGAGCACCATTTTGTAGATACATCATCGTCTGGTGTTGATGTCAACAGTGGATCTGGAAAAAGTAGTGATGGTAAAAATATCGACCCATTTCAACCAGCACATGAAGATGAAAAAGAGGATGATAAACACAAGGAAGATGACCTAATAACCAATGAAACGGTCAGAGACTATGAAAGTCCCAAAGACCTACCAGAATCGCCAACCTCTGCTGGACAAGACAATTGTCCTTCTCTGAAAGAAGAAAGTGAAGCTTCCCATTCTGGAAGTCCTTGTTCACTTAAAAGAGAAGAATTAGCGAAAATAATTTTTAATGATCCAGATCCTTTGTGGGTCCTCACATTACTGACCAAGATTGAGAAACAGTTTATGAAACATTACATCAATGCAATGAAAGAGTTTAAAGTTAGATGGAATATGGATAATAATGAACAGCTTGATTTTATTATTAATGAGCTGAGAGGCGAAGTACACGGCAAAATCCAAAAAAGTATAGATAGAGAACTTAATAAGATAAAACTCCAATCTGGACTTCCAAGACCTCCAACAGAACCAAAAGAGGGACAGCATTTGGTGAGAAGTAGGCACAAACATTCTCATGAACAGAAAGAAATAAGTGAGGACTCAGCCACGGGCACATCCTACAGCGATCAGCGTAGTGAAAACGATGAGGAATGTTCTTGTCAAACATGTGTCCCAACACAAACATCAGATGCACCAGCTAATCTTCAGCCTGTGGAAGGTAAATCCGAAGAAGATGCTGCTACACAAGAGACCAATGCATCAAAAATGTCTATCACTGGTAATGAAGCAGAGGATAATAAATCTGCTGCTACTGATCAAGATAACACTGACAAAAGTACAACCGTAAATCAACAAATGGAAGAAGAAAATGCTGCTGAAACAGAAGTTGAAGCCAAATGCACAAATGAGGCTGAGGATGAGATTGAGAATACAAAAGAGACTGTAGGGGAAATGGAACGAGATAATGATGAAGAGAAAGAAACTATAAGTCAGAATGAGAACGAGGGTGAGGATGAAGAGACTTTTTCCTCTAGAGTAGATGAAAACATTGAAGTAACAGAAGATGGTGTTTCAGTGGAAGATCCTGCTGATGAGGAACTTGCTACACAAGATGCAATACTGGAAAAGGAGAATTTTGATGCCACCATAGTTGATGAATCTGACGCATGTTCAAACACAGAAGCAGAAACAGCTGAGGAGGAGGCTCCTGTCAAAACTGCAGGCGAGTCTGGTGACGAAGAGGAAGAGAAAGACATCAGTGGAAATGAACATGAATCAGGAGAAGATGAGGAAACAGAAACAAATGAATTATCAGCTAATGAAGCAATAACAGAAAATGAACTGGTCAAAAACTCTGGCAATGTTATAAGTGAAGCAGAGTCTAACACCAAAGAAGAAGACAATACCATAGTCGGAGAAAACATAGAAGAACCTTCTGCAGAGCCCACAGAAGCAGCCTCCATTAAAGAAACCAGTGACAATGAGGTTGACCAAGAAAAAGACAATAACAGCAATGATGAGGAAGACAGAGAAGAGGTAAAAACTAAAAGCAAAGCTGAATCAGACCAGGAAGAGGAGACAGATAAGGGACTAGATGAAACCACTGATGCCAATATGTCTGCAAATGAGGAAAATGAAGCCAGTGATCTCAAAGTCAGAAGTGAGGAGCAATCTGAGGCAAAAGAAGAAACTAATTCAGAAGTAGCAGACGATACTGAGAAAAATATTGAAAGTCAAAAAGAAAGTATTGAAGAATCTGACAAAGATGAGGGAGACACTGAGAAAGACAACAACATAGATCTAACTGAACAAGACATTGTTGCTAATGAATCAACAAATGCACAAGAGGAAGTGATCGAGGATGAAGCTGTAGAAGATGAGGCTGGAGGTGAAATCGAAAGCTCTGACAAAGGAGAGGAAACTGATAATGTTAACGAGGAGGAGTGTAATGATGAAGAAGAAGAGGAGGAGATTTCTGTTGAAAATGAAACAAAAGAGGAAAAAACTGAGGAGGGTGATAACACAAATGAAGATGTTGCTGAAGCTGACAAAGCAGAAAATGAATCTGACACAGCAAATGAAACAAAAGAAGGAGAGTCAGCTGATGAGGAAGAGGAAAAAGAGATTTCTGCCGAAAATATGTCAAATGAAGATGAGGACCCAGGTGATGAAGTAATTGAAAATTCACAAAATGATGAAAATCAAACAAAGGAAGAAGCTATTGAGGTTGATGATAACACAAAAGATGTTGCTGAAGCTGAAGCTGATAAAACAGAAAGTGAAGCTGAAGCAGCAGATGAAACAAAAGAAGAGTCAGCTGATGAGGAAGAGGAGGAAGAAGAGATTTCTGCAGAAAATGCAAATGAAGACGAGGGAACAGGTGACGAAGTAACAGAGAAAAATGATGAAGATGTAACAAAGGAGGAAGCAAATGAGGTTGATGAAAACACAAATGAAGATGATGCTGAAGCTGACAAAACAGAAAATGAATCTGAAACAGCAGAGGAAACAAAAGAAGATGAAGAGGCAGCTGATGAAGAAAAAGAAGAAATTGCTGTAGGAAATGCACCAAATGAAGATGAGGGAACAGGTGATGAAGTAACTGAAAACTCACAAAATGGTGAGGATGAAACAAAGGAAGAAGCTATTGAGGTTGATGATAACACGAATGAAGATGACGCTGAAGCTGACAAAACAGAAAATGAATCTGAAGCAGCAAATGAAACAAAAGAAGAGTCAGCAAATGAGGAAGAAGAGGAGATCTCGGCAGAAAATGCACCAAATGAAGATGAGGGAGCAGGTGCTGGCATAACTGAGAACTCACAAAATGAGGAAGATGATGCAAAGGAGGAAGCCACTGAGGTTGATGATAGCACAAAAGATATTAATGAAGACAAAAATGAATCTGAAGCAGTGGATGAAACAAAAGGAGACGAAGAGTCAGCTGATGAGGAAGAGCAGGAAGAAGAAGAGATTATTGCAGAAAATGCACCAAATGAAGACGAGGGAACAGGTGAAGTAGCTGAGAACTCACAAAATGATGAGGATGATAATGCAAAGGAGGAAGCCACTGAGGTTGATGATAACACAAAAGGTAAAACAGAAAGTGAAACTGAAAGTGAAGTGAAAGATGCCAATGAAACAAAAGAAGAGTCAGCAGATGAAGAAGAGAAGGAAAAGGAGGAGGAGGAGACTGCTGCAGAAAATGCACAAAATGAGGAAGAGGGAACAGGTGATGTGACAACTGAGAACTCACAAAATGATGAGAATGAAACACAGGAGGATGCTACAGATGTTGACGATAACACAACAGAGAATCCATCTGAAGCTGAAGAGGAAAAAGGAGACGAAGAAGAAGCTGAGTCAGCAGGTGAGGAAATGAATAATGAGACTGAGGAGAAAGGTGCTTCAGGTGAAGAAGCTGATGAGGAAGAGGAGGGAAATGAGAAAGACGTAACAGAAGACGATAATAATGAGCCTCCTTGTGAAAACTCTGACATCGACAGTGCAAATGATGTGGAGAGCGACGAGGAAAAAAGTGAAAATGAGAATGTGGATATAGCTGGAGAAAATGCAGAAGAATCAAATCAAGAGGAAGAGGGCACTCCCGTCTCCAGTGGAGATGAGTCTACAAAAGAAATGCAAGATACTACCACAGCTTGTGATGCAAAGGAAGAAACAACAGAACAAAAGTCTGATGAAGATGAGGCTACTGAAGAAGTCAATGAACCAGCAGAAAACAATACAGAGGCCCTTGAAGATCAAAATGAAAACCTATCAGAAGATGAAGACAAGACCTCTTTAACTCAAGAGCAGTCTGAAAATGACACAGCTGAAGTGGCCAAGCCCAGCACCAAAGATGAAGACAATCCTACAGCTGAAGACAATACTGAAGAACCTCCTGCTGAGCATCAAGAAGCAGCTTCCATTGAAGAAACCTGTGACAATGAGGCTAGCCAAGAAAAAGAAGATAACAGCATTGATGAGGAGGATGGAGAAGAGGATGAGGAAGAGGAGGAGGATACACCTCTAACTAGTGGAGATGAAGATGGCACGGCAGGTGAAGATGCAAATGAAGAAGATATCACTGATGAAGAACCTGAGCTCCCTGAAGACGAAAATGTTGAAACCTTTGAGGAAAAGTCTGATGAGGACATGACCAAAGAGGATGAAAATGTAGATACCAAGTCAAATGATGAAAATGACAAAACCCCTGTCACAAGTGGAGATGAGTCTGCAAATGAGGATGATGCTGAAACTCAATTGACAGAAGATGCAAAAACTGAACAAGAGTCAGATGAAGAAGAGGAAACAGGAACAGGCAAAGAGGAAAGAGAAGATGAAGAGACAGATAAGGAAACCAGCGAGAAAGAAGCAAGTGAACAAAAAAATGTTGATGACGAGACTCCTGTTACTAGTGGAGATGAGTCTGTAAATGAGAGCAGTGATGAAGATGAGGAGAATGATGAAGCAGATGGGGAGAACAATAATGTCAAATCACCTGAACCTCAGTCACAAAATGAGGACAATGGAAATGTTTCTGAATCAAGTGCTGCCAAAACTGAGGATGAAAAAGACTTGAATGTAAAAGAAGATAGTGACTGTGGATCAGCAGATGAGGGGGTTTCAAAAGCCACTTCAGATGATGGAAAGACAAAATCCACAGTGGAAAATAATTCAGAAGATGTAAACGAGCCACTTGATAAGGATGAGGAAGAAAACAATGAATCTAAGTCGGAGCAAAATGACGAGGACATAGAGGGAAAAGAGACTGAAGAAAATGAATCTATTGACAATGAAGAAAAAGTCAGCGCAGAAAGCGATGCTGATAGTGAAGAGAGTCAAAGTGAAACAGGTGACGAGAGAATTACAAATGACTCTAGTTTTGACAACGAAAAACAGGAAGATAACCAGGCAGAGGAGGCTCAGCAAGAGAATGTTACTGAGACAGAGGTCACAGAGGTGAAGCCTGATGGCGTTGATAATGTTGAAGAAATCTCATTGAAGAATGAACCAGAAGAAGAATCAAAACTGGAAGACATTGAAGAATATGATGATGGCCAGCAAAAAATAAAAGAAGAAGTGAATAACTCTACTAAAGAACAAGAAAAAGATTTAAAAAGTGATGCTCCTTGAGAAACTGAGACCACAGCAAAGAAAACTGATAAGAGAACAGCTACTGCAGACAGAGAAGATGGAGATGCAGAAGATTCTGAAAATGAAATGGACAATAAGATGAACAATGACAATATAACACCATGATTGTGATAGTTAAAATACAATGAACTGAAAAGAAAGTTGCATTTTGAAGCTACAAGATACCATACTGCACTATAAACATGAATGTGTTTTTAGGTTGTTTTGTTTGTTGATACAAATATTAGTTGTATAATGTTACAAGTTTTCAGTTCTTCAAAAGCATCAATGTACCAAGCACCAAGGTATTTACAAAACTTGAATGTATATAACTACAATATGCAAACGTTATATGTCAGTGAATATGTCAGTGTATAATACAATGTAAGACTGAGCCTTAGATTTAACAAATGCTAAAAATTGACAAAAAAAAAAAAAACATTGAGCTGAAGAATATATATTCTTACATCTAGTAAATGTAGTCCTATATTTATTTGCTGCTAATAATTTGGGATTCTAAAGAAAATCTCAGTATGTTTTTTCTTGACCAAACTGCAGAATGTTACTTGAAATATTTTATTATGTACATATGTGTATACAAAAATATATATTTACAAAATCTTCTTTTCCTAGTATATGATGCACTTTTTCTGCTGAGTGAGATTGATAATACTTATACATTTTAAATGATCAAACAAGTCACTTTATGTTTATAGCAAACACAAAACATACGTCACTTTTCTGTACATTAACAGAAGCCATTACAAGCTATTAATTGCACAGTCTCATTGAAAGGATATAAAACATATGTTTGTGTGTCACAACGATGATCTGCACCACTCAATGTACTGTAATGTTTCATTGTGAAATAAATTAAATGTTAAAACTTTGCTGTTATTTGCATGGGATGAATTACCAGTACTTTGCTACAATACTCTAAACATTCCTCCTTTAGAGCTCTGAGTTCAGAGGTTTATTCATGGGTCAAACTATTTTTATCAGTGATGTCAGCAGCGCTGGTATAACAGATTTTGTCAGATGTGACTTCCATTGTATTCACTCTGCTGCTACAGTGACAGAAGTGATGGATGTGCCCCAGTGAAATGTATATTCACGGTCTCTTGTGCTCATGTGACTTGTGTAATTGGTGTCACACAGGCTGAAATCATACCACCACACGAAGGATGATGAATAACAGGAACTAGTAACAAAACCTCATCAAGCAGTAACCTTTGCATATTACATGAAATACCAACATGAGTGAAACAGAGTGCTAAATACAAGATAATGCGGTGTGTCACATTTTTTAACAGAGACATTGAGGCACAGAGAGATGCAGTAATAATGTGAATAGATGTTTTTGAATTTGAGAAGATTAATCCTCTCATCTTAAAAAATAAAATTTCTGAGGAAGCACCTGCTTGCTGGCATTCTGTAATTTCCACGGTAAACATTGGAGGAGTGAGGAACGTCATCCGGAGCACAAGAACAAGGGATTTTCCCTCAGCTATGTTTACCTCAGTGCAACCCATTCCTTCACAGCTGCACTGGTCTTTGTAACAACTGGTGAAGTAATTATGATACTATTTCTTTATTATGATACTATAAATTTTTTTTATTATTATTAATTATGATCATCTGGTTTGAGTAAAAATTAAGGAAAGGTGCCTCTCTCATATCCCACAGGAAAGTTGAAGTGCTTATTGAATATGTTTAAGTGTTCAACCAATTGTCCCCTGCTTTTGACAGGGGACACAGTCTTTAAAGCCAAAAGGGAGATCAGGACCTTCTTGTATTTGATGTGTGAGAGACGATAGAAATGGTTCCCACACTGACAGGAAGTCCAAGAGGGGCCTTTTGTGAGTTTGGAGGGAATTCAAATTGAGTGGCAATGTGTGTTTACAGTGTGATGGTAATAATATTAAGGCGAGACACTACAGGCAAAACAAGCAACTCCTTTTTTCCTTTTTTTGTGGTCAGTTTGCTCCCTCAACATAAAATGTTTCACCTGTATATAACAATATTGTCCAATCTTGAAATGTTTATAAATTTGCTTAGTCTATTTGTATACATAGATTTTTATGGGATATTGTAACTTCATAGGCAGCTTTCTCAACATGCATTTGTCTGCATGATCACACCCTTAAAATACCTACCCACCTACACAGACCACATCTTCAAATCTTTTACTTAAAAAGAATTTGTTGACATCTTAATCTAAGCCTGATTTTTTTCAAGTTCTGACTCCAAAATTTGGCTTTTTTTTTTTTTTTCCTTTTTTATTGCCAATTTTCAATAAGATCTAGTTTTCTTAATATAATAAGCTGTAAAGCAAGAAACGTAAACTTAGCTCTATCCCTGTTCAGATTTTTCTCAAATTTTTGCAATTGTGGCCATTGTTCCACATTAAAGTAATTTTTTGTATATTTTCAAAGTCAGGACATACACTGAATACAAATCAACAAATGTAAATGTAAGTCATCTAGTAATATTTATGTTATATTACATAATATGTTATATTACGTGCAGTGTGTTAGTATATAATATTGTATAAATATATATATATATATATATATATATATATATATATATATATATATATATATTAATTTATTTATTTATTTTTAGAGCTATTTTTGTGTATATATTAATTATTTTTGATGTGTGTATAATATCTAAAGTGATCTGTAATTTATGATACCTAAAGCCCATTGTAAGTTCATATTTTAAAACTGCATATTAACAAAGGAAGATTTACAGTTGTGCGCCGTGCATACTCACATTATTAATGATGGACCAGTGGGCAGCATGTCCGCTTTGGCCTCACCATGGGCCAGCAGCACATAACTAAAGGAGACCCACGCTCCCTTTCTTTCCCACCGTTGTTCAGGTTATCCTGTGGGGCCACTTATGCCCCGTCTGCAGGCAGGATGCAATGTCGGGGGACCCCAGTCGAGCAGTACACAAGCATCCGCCAGGCCCTGGGAACCAAACAAGGCCTGATGGAAAACCAGAGAGGAGAGTATAAAGAGAGGGAGCAGTTACTAACCAGATTCACTCAATAACACTCAGCGTGCACCTGCAGCCTGTGTTTACTGAACTACAGCACAGTCCCCACACAGCGCACAGGTGGTCCAAACAAAAACCTGTGAAGTGTTGCCCAGAGAGTAATATCCCCATGTTACGTGTTGTATAAAGCCCCCCATAGGAAGCAAACACATCCGGTGCTGTAAGATTTATTGTCCCTTGCACTTGCATGTTGCAACTATGTTGAAGTTGTTTCTTCCTCAAATGCCCTTTTATTAATTTAATATGGTAAGCATTCATTGTTGTTTGGCAACTAGAAGGACACTATAAAAGTATGCAAGGGCATATTGTTTAGTGTTAGTGGTTTCCATGGATTATAGGGATGGGTAAATCCCTTTCAGAGAATTGTGTGTGAGAAAGGAAAGACCTGGTTAGCTGCATTGTGTGAAATTCAAAAGCGTATTACTATATTAACTATGAGCATCAGCAAACTTACTTTGCTGCTAAATATTGACTAATGCAAAAATTCATTTTCCTGGTTATTTATTTTATTTTTTTTTTGTAATCTTATAAGTAGGTCTATGAAATAGATAATATTAAGAAAAGAGGAACATTTACCTGAAACCAGTGCAGGGGCCTCGTTGCCTGAACTGTATCGCCCTCTGCTGAACATGGGCCTTGGGACCATACAAAAGTAGAGAACCGTAAACATGTTTTTTTCCTTCTACTTTAGGAACGAAACGTCCTGTGTCTTTGCAGAGAAGAAGCGGCACAACAAAAGTGGGGTAAATGAGTTAACTTTAAAAAAAACAACTAACCTATTCGCTTCGAGTAACCTTTTTTTTAATATATCGTACCTTAAATGCAATAACATTTTCTGTAAAAAAAAACGTGTGATAAAGGACTTAACTTAACCTGCCTAAACTGCTTGTTAATAAAACTCTTACTTTAACCTGTGACTGTAATACAGACAGTACATCTTGATTGTTTACTCAAACGTAGTAAACGGGATCCAGCTGCATTATGTCCAGCACCCGCGCCACTTTTCTTTTTAATTGTAGAAACTCTTGCACCATCTAGCGGCAGGGTTTGGAAAGTTGATTTGTTCGTCATGAACAAACGGGGGGAAATTCAAATAAGTTTATTTTTGCATAAAGCTGTGTCACGATACCTCTGAAAAAGACTCATACTTTAATAGACCTGTATGGTTTGAGTGTCTGTGTGTGTTTCATATAAATCTGTAATAATTATCAACTGTGTGTAAAAGCTTAACCGTAGGCCTAATATTAGGTCTAATATTATTATTAGGGTTCATTTGCAGCCCCCTTGGGAGATGCTCTAATGCTGTCAGGAGGAGGGAGCATAGAGGAGAGAGAGTGTGGGCTACAAACTGAGCTGATAAGAGAGATATAAGGAAGTAGAAGACAGTGCCACTAGAGCACTTCACTAACAAGTCACTAGGAAAAGATTCAGGTCTGTAGCCTTTTCTCATTTTTTTGTTTGTTTTCTGAAAGTATAATTACTGAGCTATTACTGTTAACTTGTAATTATCTATATTTGTATGTATTTATTTAAAAAATTATCATTGTAATAATTGCTGATCGGAAAATGTAAGTGTCAAGAAACTATAGAGTACAGTAACGCAGTAAGTCTCTTCTGGATCCTTTCTGTAGCCTCATGGCATCAACAAATCTCATTTCTTCTTTTAGGATGGTTATTTGTTTGGCCTCATCATAAAGAAAGTAGCATTTTTCTGAACAGATTATGTCAGCAGCAGCATGAATGTACTAAACCTGTCATTCAAAAGGAGCAAAGCCTGAACACTGACAGGTGACTCTTCATTATCTCCCACAATTACATTTTTATGCTGGAAATTATTATTTAGTTAGTTAGTTTTTTTGTTTTGTTTTGTTTTGTTTTTTTCTGCAGGCTACGTTTGGTGCCATTTTCAGCATCTAGGATGGGCTGTGCTTGCAGTGGCCAGAAGGATTATAATTTCAACAAGGACAAACAAAAACATCAGGCCTTAAGCTCTTCCAATCACACTGTAAATACTTTAAAGGAGAAGATCAATATATACAGTTTAGTAACCTACCTGATCTATTTATACTTTCTGTCGACAGGGGAATAATGGAAACGCATATCAAAATGGTAATAATGTAGAGTTTTATTTATTTATTTATTTATTTATGTTTTAAAAAAGACCAGTAGTCGACCCACACAATGTTACTAATTAAAAGAGAACTGCACACAGCGATTACAATCTGTTGTGACTTCCTCTGCATATGAGAAAAAGATGAGATTAAGAAAATTCACAAGTTTTACATTTTGCACGAGTTTTACACACTAAATATGTGGATAGCAACAGTAAAATGAACATATTATTTCTATTTTGGTTTTCAGATAATAATGTGTGTGTGGCTCAACATGACTTTGTAGCAACCAACAACACTGATCTACCTTTCAAAAAGGGAGAGAAACTCAAGGTTATACAAGAGTAAGTAATACTTAATAGATTATGTTAAATAGACTACTTAAGTGGAATATGAAATCCTAAGCCAGAAACTACTGTTTGTTTGCAGAAATGGAGAGTGGTGGGTGGCACGCTCACTGGTAACTGGTCAGGAAGGCTTAATACCATCTAATTATGTGGCCAGAGCAGATACACTGGAAGTGGAAAAGTAATATATGTCCTAATATGAAGTATGTCTGTGTGATAGTATGTAAATGTGTTTTTTGTTTAATATTTATAGGTGGTTTTTCAAAGATGTGAGTCGAAGAGAAACTGAGCGACTTCTTTTAGCTCCAGGAAACAAACCTGGGTCATTTCTGATCAGAGAAAGTGAGACGTGTAAAGGTAACTAAGACATTTCCTCCTTTATCTCAATTGTAAAACTTCATAAAGCTGCAACAATAACATAACTATTCTATAGGTTCTTTCTCCCTGTCTGTCAGAGATTATGTCCTAGAGGAAGGAGATGTGGTAAAACACTACAAGATCCGTAATCTGGACAAAGGAGGTTTCTACATCACCCCTTCGAATGCTTTTGTGTCTCTGCAGGACCTGGTCAGATACTACAACCGTAAGTTTTCATTATGGAATTCAAATGGTGTGTGCTGCTTATACTTAAGAGAGGAACTTGGACCTACTTGCAAATAGTCATGTGTGTTTTTGTGGTCAGAGCACATAATAATGCATGCTGAATTTGTATGATTTATCTTTGTTCATAGGTACAGCAGATGGCTTGTGTCAGCGGCTTCTTTTTCCGTGTAAACCCAGGACCCCACAGAGACCGTGGGCTGCAGATGAGTGGGAGATCCCCAGGGAGACGTTGAAAATGGTGAAAAAACTGGGGGCTGGGCAGTTTGGAGAAGTTTGGATGGGTAAGACTACAAATTAATAGACATCTTGGGCAATGTTAGTGTAAAACTGGGCTGAATGCGGCAAAGTTTATAAATATAACAATTTTCAGTAATGTGTTAATATCATTTTGGACACAGTAAGTTCAGTCAAGTTGAAACAAAACTGTAAATTGCTTTATTTAATTAAATCAAGGCCATGTGTGATATAGTTTTAGCGACATTGCAATTTATTATTTAGTTTTCTTTTTTTTTTTTCCAGTTTTGAGATGTTGGTTATCTTTTTGGTAGCTCTATAGTGTAAACTGTTGAGTAAATTTAGTTGTTTTGTTTTTTTTTACATTTCAGGCTACTATAAAAACACACAGAAAGTGGCTATCAAAACTCTGAAGGAGGGGACCATGGAGCCAGAGGCCTTCCTTCAAGAGGCTAACCTCATGAAACAGTTAAAACACGAGCGACTAGTGCGACTTCACGCTGTCGTCACCAGGGAACCCATCCTCATAGTGACAGAGTTCATGGTAAATGGTAAGAACAAATGAGGAACTATGTCAGTATTCAAAGAAAATGATTTCACAGGATATGCTAATGTCACTTTTACATCAGAGTTTTGTATTGAAATGTGTCAGTGTTGTGTCATGACCTGTAACACAGATTTAAAAAATATATATATTTTGTTCTTTGCAGGTTCTCTTCTGGAGTTCCTACAGACCAGCGAAGGCAAAAATTTGAAGCTAACTAAATTAATAGATATGTCTGCCCAGGTGGGTATCTCGTATTTTACTTTTCTAGTATGGTGTACCATCTGCTCTTCTCTGTGAAGAAGCTTTGCCTAAAATGCTCTACAGTATGGCATTAAAATTATCTATCTCCATGGAGATAGCAGTGACACCACCAGGTTACAGGTTTGATCTGCGGAGAGTTGACCTTGCTCAAAGAAAACATGTTTTTCCAAGGTATTTTTTCAGCATAACGTCCTATAACTCAGTAAATGCAATCTGAGGTTTGAGCTGCTATGGAAGATTCCATATGATCAACCTTTATCCCTAACCAACTTAGCCATGTAGTTATCATAAATTAATATATTGTTCTCAACTTTAAATTATAGCTTTTCTATCAACAATTTATAATTAATGTAATCAGCAGTACAGTTGAAATATAGTGTCAGTGTTGTAAGGTTAAGTGTCCTGTGTCTGAACAATTTGAAAATATTATGTTTTGTGGCTTTTGTGTGTTAGGCTGCTACTGTGAAAAACGCATTCTACGTCAGTTATTAACATCCGGACAGGAAACCATAGTTCCATCAAGACTGAACTGCTCTAAAAATAAAACTGGGCAATTTATTGTACTTAATTTTTGCTTTTATGTGTTCAAGTTTGTAAAATCTGGAGGCCTAATGGAATAATCCAGTGTTAATGTAAACAAACAACTTATTATTAGATTTTTTATTTATTTATTTTTTTGCAGATAGCTGAGGGCATGGCATATATTGAAATGAAAAACTATATCCACCGAGATTTGCGTGCCGCCAACATTTTGGTCAGTGAGACCCTTCACTGTAAAATCGCAGACTTTGGACTGGCACGAATCATCGATTCTGAATATACTGCAAAAGAAGGTTGGCTATATTATGCACACACGATATATATATAAACCGTGCTAGTGCATGTACCTCATACTGAACTGAAAGTCTGTGGTTATGCAATTAGTTTATTTAAAGGCATGCGAACTACTGTGTGATTTGAGTTGTCTATGTCTGCATTAAAGGAATCAATGTTTATTTATGTCTTAACACTGAGGTCTAACTACACTGAGGTTATTATTATCAATATGCACAGATGCATGTACAAACACTGAGCCTGCTCATGTTTTATCTGATTACTAGGGGCTAAATTTCCAATCAAGTGGACTGCTCCAGAAGCCATTAATTACGGCACATTCAGCATTAAGTCTGATGTCTGGTCTTTTGGGATCCTTCTCACAGAAATAGTCACCTATGGAAGAATACCGTACCCAGGTAAACAGAAAGAAACATTGTAATATACACAAATGTTGTATGTTAAATTATATTCCAAACATTATGATTCACTGCCCTTTTCACTTCCTTTGCCCAGGAATGACCAACCCTGAGGTGATGAAGATGTTGGAGACGTTGTACCGGATGCCGTGTCCCGAGGGCTGTCCCAATGAACTCTATGAGATAATGATGATGTGCTGGAAAGAGGAGGCAGCAGCAAGACCCACATTTGAGTTTTTACAAAGCACACTCAATGACTTCCTCATTGCAACAGAGGGCCAGTATGAGTTACATCCATAACCACTGTTGGATGACCTTCAATAATGGACAAAACAGACATTTAATACTTCTGAGAGCAAGAACACCTGACACATCACCATCTCAAGATGTTATCCCTGAAGTGGAAGAGTTACAATCAAGCACATTTTACAAGAGCTCTTTTATAGGTTTGTCATTAGTTACTATGTTGTATATTTTCTACCCTGTATTTTGGTAACTTTGTCAAAAGCTGGTGTAAACAGTACACCATGCTTTTTGTTTGTTTTTTTGGGGTGTTGTATGTAGAATTGTATAAATGCAGTCTAAGCCGTGCACTTGCATATAAGTCATTGAGATGCCAACAGGAAGCCCTACAGCCTTAGACCTTGTGGTTTGATCCCTGGTGGGTGAGACAATATCTTGAAGATAACAGTGGAATGGCCCCACCAAGCAGGGGTTAAACCCAGCCATTTCCTGATTGCAAGGAAACAGGAAGTGTGCGTCAGCGTTCCTCAAATACCACATTTAGAGCTGGAGACTGGTGAGGTCCTATCCTGTACATAAAATATCTTCTAGTTAGTTATCAAAATAAAATAAATTATTGGGTAAGATAAGTGGCTTTGTTGTCTTCATCGTGTTTATCAGGAACAGCAGCTTGTGGTCTAACAAGAACAATAAAAAAATGATGCATCTTTATGTATTTTGGAAACCGTTTCTGTTGTATCATCAAAACTGTATTTTTTTTGTTTACTGTAAGTGAAAGTTGGCCTTTGCAAAACCTAGTGATGTAACTCTGGAGAGAGCCCAGCTGGGAGGGGGGCAACCTCCAAGTGAATGTGTGTGTTTCATTTCTTTTATCACTGAAAGGTGCTGCCAAAATCACAATACTGTTATTGCTATCCCATAAATACAGTTTATTACCTTCATTTGTTTATTGCTTATAAGTGATGATTTTGTATTTTGTTTTTGCAAAATAAAGAGGAGGGGAATATTATAAATGTTGTTATCCCAACAGTAACCAGTAGATGTCAGGCTCACACAGGATGATGAAAAAATACATTTTATAAAGAACATGAGCTGAATGAACAGACCAGTATTATTAAAGTCCTTGTTTTAAATTCATTCTTTTTGGTGAAACATACAATGTATTAATTTAGTTTTTCAGATGTCTATGTGAATTCCCACCTCCCATCATATGTTGTTTTACATTTTGTTATATAAATAAATATGTGCATGGGGAAGTATCTGTCTCTGCATGCAGTGACAGCTGGTCACTTTCATCATACATCATCTAAAAACCTTAGTTAGCTAAACATACATGCACTAACAAGAGGGAAAACAAAGCATAAATATATCTGACTGAAAAAGCTGTGTAACTGGTTCTGGATTTGACCTCTTCTGCTGCTGGAGTCACTTTAATCAAGTTCTACATGCTGGTTGGTTTGTTTAGTGTGCAGCTGTTACATACATAGAAATTTCAGTGTCTGAGACTTGGACCCAGAACCCATTTAGCTGTGACGTGAAAAATGGAAAGATGTGCACTTCCGGTTTATTGTCTATATAGCTGTGTTATGTCTGATAGTCTAAAGTGTTTATGAGAGACAGCTTTTACAAAAATGAGACAAGAGGACAGAGTATAAATATCTGTACTTTACTTTAGTACATTTTTAAGTATTTTTACATTTAGTTCACTACATTTGAGAGCAGTTATGGGCTGAAAAGTAAACATGTTTTTATTACAGTTTGAGACCTTCTGAAAAGAAGGAGTAAATTTTTTAACACATTTGTAGCTTGAGCAAACAAAAATCTAGAAATAAAAACAGCAAAAAACTATCAGTTCAATTGTTTCTACTTAACAAAGTACAGCATAAATCTTTACCTAAATCACTACATTCGAAGCTTAATTAAATCTTAAAATCTGTACAAAATATGTCTACTTTTACTTTTTGGTAAATGGTCACATTTTTATACAGCACATTTCCACCTTCAAGACTCTCAAAGTGCTTTACAACAAGGAACCACTCACCTACTCGCACACACATTCATACACTATAGTGTACGCAGACACTGACCAGGAGAGCAGGATTCTAGCCACCAACCTTCGGCTCATTGAACAAATGCTGCACTGAATACTCCACCAACAGAGCTACTGTCACAAGGGCATTTGTAAATGCAGAAATTTAATACTTTTACTTGAGTAAATTTTTTGTTATACTTTTATTGAGTATTTTTTTGCTCCGGTATTTGTATGTTTACTTAAGTAACAAACTTGAGTATTTCTTCCACCCCTCGTGTCACATCATTAGCACTGTGAGTATAACCTCCACAACCAGCAGGGACAGAGGCAGAGCAGATGAAAGAAGCCCCACTTTCATCTCAGTAATGTGGCTGTTTTCAATGGCTTTGGTTGACATTATGCTCCTCGTGCACATATTTCCTCTCAGGAGCTTTGATGTCTTCATTTAATGGGCTCTATCCATCAAGTGCGTTTGCTCCAACAGGCATGAGAGCTCTTGAAATACACAAAAAAGATGCCATGTTTAGCAGGTTTGAATTTCATGAAGAATTTCAATTTAAATCTCGGTAAATTCATGATTAATTAACCACTAGGCTAATTATGTTGGAAAAGGAAACCAAGAAAAACAAATTATAAATGCTTGTGATTTTTTTTTTTTTTTGATTTGCTTGTTGAAATTAATAAAATCAAGAAAAAAATATATATGTCTGTTCATGGATTTCTTCAACAAGTGGCATAAAACAAAAATTCATCATATTCATTCATATTTGAAATGAGATCCATTTGTGGACTGGTATTTCAAATGTCTAGACATTTATTTGACAGTATAAATCATTGTCTGGTTCTCAGCAGTCAATCATTGCCTGCTGGCAATAGTTGTGATCAGGAAAATGCAAAAGTGAAATAAGTCAGTGTATTTCTGTGCCAAACTCTAGATAAATTGATATTCATAAACAAAGGAATTCTTGCCAAAATAAAAATGCTGGCCTTGTTGTTGAAAAGAAGAAATGTTGAGAGTTGAAATATATATTTTTTTCTACATAATTTGTCTGGTGCAAAACTACGAAGTATATAACCAAGGCATTTGCTGACCAGTGAGTCCTACACAGACTGACGCCACTAGTGCTAATAGAATTGTCTTTAATGACACTAACACAAACATGCAGTAATGTCTCTGTGGAATCTTCCTTTTTCCTAGGGCTGTACTGAGGAGATTTCGGCAAAACCCTCTGCTAAACTGATGCAACACGTCAAACCAAAGCTCATTTAGTGAGAGGAAGCTTTAGAGCCTGGAGTTAGCAGGGGCCCTACCACCTCCAAATGAATGTGGTAATGGACCTCCAGCTCAATGTTGATTCAAGGGCAAATGTAATTATAAGGGAGCAAGTGCAGGGAGAAATTACAGACGGATACTGCTGGCAAAACGACTTCATTTTGACTATTATGACAATGTTCTTTTATGGAAAAAAAATATGTAAAAAGGAACAAATGGAGTTTACTGAGGACAGCCATAAGCACTCTGCTGTATTGGCTATGGCCGTCTTACGTAACACCTGATCCCTTGTGTTATAAAGTCTTTTGTTAGCTCACCAGTGCTGACAGCTCATCATGCACTGATCAGTATTCACGTCCATGCTCTTCTCCATTCAGAGATCCCCATCGTCACATCTTCGCTCACCTTTTTGTTTGTGTAGCAAATGTCACTGTAAATATTCTTACCTGCAGCTTTGACCTTGGACTGAAAACACGTCTCTCTTGCATTATTGTCATGTCATTTTTTATTTTTTTTTTCTGAGGACAAAAAGATTAGATTGAAGATGTTATCAAATCTTTATAACAAAAATACATAACTCTGGCAATCAAGATGGGGGGCTGAACACTTTTGGCAGCAAGTGAAAAGTGTGTTTCAAACTTTTTTGTGTTTAAACAGAAGAATATTTTAACTATTTGTAAGAAGAGGGATCCATTTGTCCAACTAACTTGGCTTCTCCAAACGTGCAGCTCTTACAGAGGGTGATAGTTACAGCAACGTACACAATGTATCACAATTTGTTCCATATACAGTATGTTGTAATTTAGATCTGTGAACACTGGTCAAAACATAAAGTATTCATTATGCTATTACTTTTTTTTTATTATATCCAACCACTTGAGGAGCTATATAAAGCTCTTGGCCACTTCAGCCCTCCTTCTGCACCACATGCACTGAACACCAAGCAATTCACTTTTTTCATCTTTCCTAATGTAGCTAGGAAGAACAAAACTTTACCATTTGGGATTTTTAAAATTAAATCAGACATAAATGCTTCAAGAAAAAGAAAAAAAAAAGAAAGAAAAAAGTCAAACATTTTTAAAGGTTCTTCTTTAATTTATTCATTAAAATGCAGCATTTTATTATATAACTTTTTCAAAGGGCTTTGCAACATTCTTGCTTGTCATTATGCATGGATGGGAATAGAATGACAGCTTAAGTCCTGTATGGAGACTGTGTGCCAGTGCTCATTGCTCAATCTAAAGAGTACAGATGTATACAACCACCAGACCAATGCCAATCAAAAGATGGTAAAATGGCAAACAAAAGACATAAATATAAAATCACTCTTCATGTAACACATTTGCAAGAAACCATTAAAGAAGTCTTATAGTGTGCTCTGTATTCAAAGGCACCATACAAACCCAGGACCTTGATGCAGTTATATAAGATTGCAAAACTGTAATTATATCACCTTTTTGATTCAGACTTTTCTTTTTGTTCCTATGAGTCATTTTACATTCATGACATAATATTATCACAATTATAAGTATCTTGTACCAGAAAATGTGTTCTTTTCTTCTTTTTGACCACATTTTCAGCAGTTTGAATCCACAGTTATGTGACATTTTAAATATAGTACAGTAATGCATCTCATCTTGTATCTATATATTGAACTTTAAAATCCAATTCAATGGCACACAATGAAACTAATCATTTCCTTAAAACATCAATATCTTGGATCCATCTCACAAAGTCATAATACGAATCTGGACTCACTCAAAATTTGCTTTGCCCTATGTCTATTGCTGACCTTTACTAGAATTCATAACAAAAACTGAGCTAAAAAATAAGCAAAAATCATGTATTCTTGTAAAATGGTTGAGCTTGACATTTCTATGCACAAATTCTTGCAATAACTATGAACCACAATAGCCTAGAACTGTATAAATAAATACCTCTTAAATGTCATGGTAACAAGGACTTGTCAACCTATTTTTTCTGTATGCGTTTGCCAAGAGCGTAAAAAGAGTGCATAAGAACCATGGCAAGGACAACTTTTTCTGCTAAAAGGTTTGAAGTGCTTAAAGGGCCTGTTTTTCTATTTTCAGATCTATGTTTCAGTGACTTAATACAGGAAGTACTCCACTGTATTTTTAAAGTCTATACACCTTCACTATAATCATTTGGATAATTTCGGTCCTGGAATTGCCAATCTCTATTGAAAAAAAGGTCAAAGATAGCTGTTAAATTGAAAACTTCTTCATAACATCACAACGTGGAATAGAGCATTTTGAGGTTTGAAGTTGTAGACAGACTAATATTAAAAGGTCACTCCAGCATGTGTAAATGAAACCAAACAAGACTCTGGGTATGTTTACCTGGCTAAAAGCAATAGGACCTTTAATGGAATCAATACGTGGACAAAGTTGTGGATTAAATAAACATCTACAACAGTAACTATGCAGCACTACAGATTATGATGTCAAATACACACTAGTACTGTTGTATGTTGGACTGTGCATGTGGAGGCAGGCAGATTCTTTTATAGACAAGCAATTGGAGTGAGACCAGAAGGCAGTGCTCTGAGCTTATCAATGCGATTCATCTTCCTGATAACACGGCTGTCCTCTCCACTCTGCTGTGCCCCGCCTGATGTGTGAGAGCTGTACGCAGACCCTCACAGCCCCATGGAGGTGAAAACAGACAAACTAAACTGTTATTTTAGGAAGGTTTCATTATTGGCCAAAAGTTGTTATAAATAATTAGAAGACTATTTCTGTTGTGGGTGTGATAGTTAATTAGTCAAGACAAATTAGCAAAAAGTGATCTGTAAGGTTAATGATGCTGAACTCAATTAAAATGCTGAATTTAATATTCTTTTGTTTTTAACAGTAGGCTGCTTTAAATCTTCTGAACATATGACTTCTCACGAGACAACTTTCTTTGTTGCATTGTAAAGTGTAATATAAACCAGTTAGAATATGTTATCTTTTCACATATCACTGATAACAGAAAACAGCTAAACTTAGTCAAAGTCAAATAGTAAAAGTGATATATTTTTCAGTTATTACATCTACATTTGACAGATTTAGGGCTGGCTGATACTGACAAAAATTAATACCTCGATATTTATTTATTTAGACTTAAGCTTATTTAGACTTACAACATCAATATTCTTCTGGCCAGCTAATGTCATTCTGGGAAGGTTGTTTTTAGGTTTACAGAATGTTCCCTGAAGGATAATTTGGTTGTTTTAAGGTCATTTGGAAAGTTTTATAGCAGCTGGGTCTCTTAGGGTTACTCCTAACGTTCCCTAAATGTTCCCTAAACATTCCTCTAACCTAACTTAAGCTGTAACCTTCAGGAAACCTTCACAGTAGGTAAATGTTGTTTGGTTTTTTTTTGGAAGATTTGGGAACAAACCTCTGGGGAATGTTACATTTTTGGTTCCCTAAACGTTCTGGGAACATTTTCAGAGTAGGCCTCTTTTTTGGATAAGTGTTGATCAAAAATGTTTTGGTTAGTAAAAAAAACCTTTAGAGGTTACTGGCTAACATTATTTAAAGGTTTGGGTACAAATCTCTGGGGAACATTTGGATTGTTGTTCCCTGAGTGTTCTGGGAACGTCTGGTTATAACCTCATCTTTAAAGAACGTTTAGGCAATGTTAGTTTTTATAGGTTACAAACTAACATTCCCTGTTAACTGGGATCACCTTGCTATAGCCTACTTTGTTGACACAAAGCACGAAACGGGGGTCTTAATTAATTTAATCAGGTTTAGAGTTAAAGCAAATGCTACTAGGCTACATTGCCTATATTTAGAACAAACCTTACAAAACAGTTATGTGTAAATGTTTTAAAAAAGCTCTTGTGTAGTTTTCGGAGCCGCGTTGCCTCCTGTTCTGATGACACATGGGTGATCAATCATGTTGGATATGCTAATCACGCACTAGAGCTGAGACGCCATTGGCCAAACCTTCTGCGCATCGCTCATCCCTGAATGAACCACTCTCCACTGTCTGAAGTTAGAGGCGCTGTCCATGGTTCTTAAAGCGTCACCGTCTCCAACTCACTGCAGCGCGTACGGAGAAGACGCTTTTTGCAACCTGATGCTCGATGGTTGAAGAGAGAATATGGGAATTTACGGTCACACGCGGAAAACAATGAACGGATGAAAGGACTTGTGGAATCCGGGCGACAATGAAGACGCAAGGTGTTTCGCTCGTTACGCACTTTGACATTGTATTTGTTTATTGACCCGCGTTCAGCAAAGACCTCGCACTGATGTTGTTACGGTGAACTACGGACATTGAGCCTGTCTTCAAGCGCAAGAATCGTTTTTGAACTTACAGAGAATCCCATAGCCCGCTGCTTCTGCTGCTACCGCCGCCGGAGACATGGCACGTCTGTTTGTTTGGATCAACTCTACGATCCTGTTGCTTTTTGTCACCGATGTGTTCTTGGTGGGAGCAAGTAAGTGGATGATTACATAGCAAAGCAACATTACGTTTTCGGAATGTTGTGATGTTTGGCGCCTGCTACTCATGTATTAAGTCAGGATTTTTATCTATTTTAACCAATACATTCCGACTTTAAGAATGAAACACTATTTATCTTTTACATGTTTTTACACACACTCTTAAGCACCTAGTTCTTAAATCCCATTGCATTGTTACAGCCACAGCACTTTACTCTACATTGTTAAGGCTATTATAAAGCTATCACATTAACCACCTACACTTATCTTAATGCATGTGCCATCAGCTCCAGTAATTACCTAAACTGCCTCTGCAATGCCCTGTGACCTATACTGCTTGTTCTATGTAGAGTGGGCTATCACCAGCTCATTTCCATTCCTCTTTATTCTGAACATCGGCATCTCCGTCCCATCTCTATCTGGGGAATTCTTAGGGGGACTGATGCTTCCTGTGATCTTGTCTTCACTGTCTGTGTGGCTCCATGTCAGTCTTGGTTCGGAGCTTTTGAAATGTCTTGGTGGCGTGTGTGAAAGAGCTTTTCCTGATCTCAGCGGAGTTCTGACAGGAGCAGGAAGAAACAGGCTTTTAAAAATCTCTAAGCATGAACTCATCTATAAATAAGCATTATTACAGATCTGCGAACATGTGAGACAGTAAAAGTTGGGGATTTCAAGAAATTTTCAAGTTATTAAAAAATGATTCAAGCAGGTGATGACATTGGGCCAAGTTACAGGTCAGATCTGTGGAAGGTATTTTGACAATAAAAACACCTAACTGAAAAGATGATAGATCGATATGTTTTATGCCTGACAGTGAAACACAGCAAAGCATTAATATCTTGACAGGCAGGTGGCACCCCTCGGCAGAAATGTTACAAAGTGAAATTCAAACAAAGCATTTCAGGTTGCAGATGTCAAAGTTTTCTAGATTAGATAACATTTTGGCCTCATTGCCGTCATCAGTTATTTTTTTCTTTATCAGCACTTGTTTGTTTTTGAATTGAATTGTAGTGCTTTGTCCCTGCATCTGTAGCTCAAAAAACAGTTCTTCTCCTCTTTTTCAACAGTGATAATTACAGCAACTGAACATCACTGCCCATGCGCATTATTTAGCTCTCCACTGTTGTCGCCTAAAATGACCATCAGTGATTTTTGTCAGCTGCAGACTGTAAACACCTCATAGGAGCTGTATTCCATTGTCACTGGCCATATGTTTCCAGCTTCCAATGCATGAAATCATTGGAAAGATTTTTCACTTGTTGCCTAATATACAACAGACATTTACAAGACATTTCATTGGAAAAACTGGTTTATATCATTTGCATTCTATAGGGTGGCCTATAAATAAATAAATCGGAGTTAGGACAGCATACAGGCCAAATAATAGCCCATAGAACCTCCCTGCTGTCAAGTCAAACAGGATTTATTGCAGTTGACTTGAGTGACACATGTGATTGGACTGCCGTGTTTATATCTGCAGGGCTAGATGAGACAATCATGCTTGAAAATTAATCGTGAGATGTGCTTCAGCTGTTAAACAAACACAGATTAAAATGATATTGGGTCCATTGGAACGCCTGGGCTTCTATCAAATTGCCAATCTAGTGCTGGTAAACCTGGTGACACACTGTGGACAATACATTTATGAAATTAGAGCTGCAAGAAGTGTTTACTCATATAATTTCTCCTCCCATCAAATATGGAGCTGTCTGTTTCAATCATTTTATGTCATTTTAAATTTGTTCGCTGCTGCAGACTTGCTTGGACGTCAGATCAATACTGAGTTTAACCTTGAGCTTGTTGTTATGAAACAGTTATTTAACATTACATTCTTCTCTGTGATATAATCCTTAAGTGTTAGTTAGCCTGGGGTCTTAGATTACATATATATTATACATACAGTCACACCTGATGCTAGCACCTCCTCTGGCTGTGATGATGTGAGCGTAGACAGTACAGCACAGTTAGTTCTTGTGTACAGGAGAAACACTAAAAGGGAAAAGGCACAGGGCTTCACGCATGGCTGGTCAAGTCTTCTACTTTTGGAAAATGCTTTTATGAGGCTGTGCTTGCTTCAAACACTAAAGTTCCAGAGTAACCAGTTATAATTATTGTAATGTCAATTTTGCCTGTGTACATTTTCAGGCTACTACACATTAACAGGCTGCCTCACCTTGACAAGTGAATTTCTTTGTGATCAGTGCAGTTCTATCTCATAAACAGTCAAAATATGTAATATTTAAGTGTTTTTTTCAGTAGTATAACATGACCATACAAAGTATAGTTTAAATAATAATGAAGAAGTGTAAAAACAATTAAAGCTAATTAAAGCTAAAAAAAAAATGTAATGAACCATAGGTTGTGTTGTTGTATGTAAATGCACAGTGATTTAAGAAGTCAAACTGATAAATGGTAAACTCCATTGTTTGAGGGATCATTTATTGTAAATATAAATTTTCTTTTGACTGATTCATAAAACTGTTCCCTTGTGGAGGGAGATGAAGATTGTGGACCTGTTTTCCAATGGCACAGAAACCAACTTCAAATACTCAATAGTTTGTTTTTAGTATATCTCATTATCTGCACTTTCCAGCAACATGACCTGTTATATAAAAATATCCAGAAGCTATTCTGAGCATTGAAATGAAGTGTGTATAGCATTATTTATTAAAGTTTGGTGGAGCACACAGGGATTTAAACTTTATGTGCAGAGCATAATGTGAGGAGCTGATGGGAGTTGAATAGATGGAAGAAGGTTTTGAACAGAGCTCAAGTGGAGATAAAACTGTTGCTTTTGTAGCTTTTGTAGTGGCACAAGGCAATTTGCAGCTGCACGTCGGCCTCCCGCTGATTTGTGAGTCTTCTCAGGGCTGACGTGAGAACACATCTACAAGCTGTTGGAACAATACACAAGTGTCAGAGTCTGAGGCTGCTCAAAATTATAGCTCTCATTACATTGCACCCGAGAGTGTAGCATATGTAGCTAACTTCCCCACTTCAAGTGTCAGAAGTGGAGAATAATTTTGACTCTGCTATGAATCATATCTTCATTTCTAACATAATGTCTGTTCAATTACTTTATGAGGAGTATAAATGACATGCCTGTTGCTTTTTAGAGGTTGCAGGTGTCTATCTTAATAGCTTGGGGTCTCAAATAGTGCACTTTATGAGAATGGTCCTTTATCACAATAGCAATTAAACAATTCCAATTAAAAAAATAATAATAATAATTAATGTATTTTTAATTTTATTTTTTCACGGTATCTGCTGTAGCCACTCCTCCAGTTTGGGGGTTACAGCCCCGAGTGCTCCACTGATCCACTGATGCCTTCACTTTCCAGGCCTTCTCCAGCTCCTCCTTGAACCCTTGGTATTTCTTTAGTTTCTCGTGTTCCTTTTTCCTGATCGCTTGGTATTGCAATGTCCACCACCATGGCTTTGTTCTCCTGCTTATCCATCACCACTATATCTGGTTGGTTCGCAATCACCATTCAGTCAGTCTGTATCAGGAAGTCCCACAGGATCTTGGCTCGGTCATTCGCCACAACCTTTTGGAGGTGTTTCCCACCTTGACCTTGGGGTCTCCGTACTCTGCACAGATGTTTCTGTACACTATGATACAGTAGCTCACACATCACAATATTTAACAAACAGCAAAAATGTAAATGATAATAATAAATTCAAAGTAGCAAAATGAGACTGGTGTCAAACTAAGCATAATTATATAAATGTGTATGTACAAGTAAAAAAAAAAAATTAATATACAAATATAGTAATACAAATATCTGTCATCTACAAGAAGTTGTAAAGAGATGCAAAGATGAAATAGTGCCTTATATTGCAAGCTAATGTAGAGTATAGATGTAGTAATAGATGTAGTATGATGTTATAGGCTGAAGTGGTTATAATTGTGTTTCTTGTCCCCTAACGGACATTTAGAGATGCACTCCCCACTTTAGTATCTGTGCTCTCCGCTCAGAGGGGGAAGCTAATGTTCTTTGGTTATAGTTTATGATTCATGCTCGGAGTGTGGCTGCTTCCCAAGAGGGTCTTACCATTTATTTTCACTGACACGTGGGTTGGCTACAGCGACCTGCTGCTGTTTGATTACAAATCTTATGTAACATATTGTCTTGACCAAGATACAGGGCTGACATTTATTATTACATTTATTATTATATGAACACAGTTTAACAAGGTGGGATTTAATCATTGGCAAAAGTCATTCATAACAAAAACGCCATGATCTCTCAACATTTTATATTTCATAAAGTACCTTTCAGCATTATATGATGGGGTAACAAAAGGAAAAAGCAAATATAGAATCTTGGCTTAAAATCTCTTCCTCACCCTCCATGGATGTCTCATTTTTCCAAGCTCAGGAGTTTTTAATCAAGAAATGTAAATTTATTATACACATTGGAATTAGACTCTCATTACATTATTGCATTGCACTTTCCAACCTATTCACATTCAGCTTTATAGAGAAATGAATAATTTCCTTTTACTATGCTGACTCATTAATTTGCGCTGGATTCACTGGACAAAGTCACCTTACACAGGTGTTCAAGTGGAGAATACTCTTGTCCAATTCACTGCCAGTAATGGAAACAACATCATATAGGCATAGGCCTCTTATACATTAGTGATGATCCATGGCTGACTTCAGCTGAGTTGTCACTTCCTCCATCTCCAGTAAATGACCCTAGCACAATGCATCATGGGTAGAGGCTCTGTTTTGCAGACTCTTGCCTGTCTGTAACCCCCATTACCTAAAGGACGACCAGAGTCAGAGGGGAGGAATGTGCCAGACCTTAAATAAATGTAGTGAATCTCTATAGATCTCTAGAGTGTGCGCACTGGGATGCTATACACTAGATACTATATTGCCAATTCACTGATGACCTTTAACCGCAGAGACAAATGAATAAATAAATCAGTAGTTGATATATTGGCTGTTTATTTTTGTATTTCTATGATTTGTGTATAGTGTATTTTTTTTCTCTTTTTTAGCAGAATCATTTATTATTTTAATAGTTGATTAGTTTCAATTATTCCAACTAGTCATTATAATTTCTTGAATATTAAATTGCTAACAGACGATATTTTTCGTATTGAAATAACACCACATGTCAATCCAAGAGTCAAGGTTAAGGAACATTTTATATGAAAAATTATTCTCTGCATTTGACCCATCCTTCAATGCCACTGGGGCATCTCCTCAGCCTCTCCTTAGGAGTGGGCGCATAGTCCCACACTCAGGACCCAAATATCCATGATCTTGTTGCTAGGCTTGGTGAGGACAACCTTAGATGAAGGATTTGACATATGGTGCAAATTTTAGGTTAATGGGGGAAACTGGAGTACCTGGAGGAAATCCACCCATACACACTGAAAACATGCAAATTCTGCACAAAAAGGCTCAGGCAAACCAAGGATCGACCCCGGAACCTTCTTGCTGTGAAGCATGAGTGCTAGCCACTCAGTCACCTTGCCACTGCATTAAATATTCATACAACTCCACATACTTTTTTGTCTTTGTTAACTTATTTTTCCAAGGACTTCTTGTTCAACAGCAGATATGAGAAAGCCCTGACCTGTTAACCTCTGTCTTCACAAGCTGCATTGCTTCTTTTTCTTTACAGATATAATGAATTTCCTCTCACATATCTCACCATACTCTATTACTATTAGCACAAAAAGCAATCTTCTACCGTGATATGATCCAGAGAAGAAGTATGCCTACTTATGTCTGACCTTAACCTCCTCGCTACATGATGCTTCACACAGCCCGATGACTTTACCCGTAGACCAATAGCCAGCGTGTGACCCCTGTAGCCTTGTGGTGCTCTTCAATGTCACCTTTTGGACCGAACAGGGAGGCCATCTTGATTGTGAGATACGACAGATAGGCGTGATAGACAGAGCGGAGAGAGATAAAGGCGAAGAGAGATAAGAGCCAGACTGTTCAAGGGAGACCACTTGAATTAATGTCCAATTCATGTCATCTTTTACTTTCAAGATGGCAGATTATATGTTCCAAAAGATAAGGGATGTTGCATGTATTATCTCTCGTCTCATACTCATACTTCTATATTTTTTTTTAGGATTGTTCAGAATAAATGTAGGGCTACTATATATATTTTTTCTTTCTAAACAAAGTGGCTTTCAATATTAACTTCATGAACATAAACAAGACTGTCTTTGATTCAGTCCTGTATAAAGAGTGCATAAAGAAGAGGACTAAAGGAGTGTAACATCACCCAGCTCCAGTCAAATGAAGCTCCTGAGGCTAGCAGTTGTAGGAGCGAATATGGAGCCAAGTTCCATATTAGGAATAGGAATTTACTGACAAAATAGCAAACTAAAAACACCAGGATCCCGTTTAAGCAGGTTAATACGAACATTTTAAGACCAAAATGACGAGGCTCACTGCAGCAGTTACAGAGAGAGGTGCAATGTTTTTCAATGTAAAGTTAATTGTAGCTGGAGTCGATGGAGCGGGAAGCGCCCCCCCATGTTCACTTTTGTTTGGAACGAGGCAGCTAGCAGGATAGCTATGTCTATTTATATACACAGTCTATGTTCAGTCCATATTAGTCCTTCCTTCAATCTCTGAACTCTTCTCCAGATTACATGCTTTTACTGACAGAGGATTGGCTGTAGGCCTCTCCTTTAAAAAGACTGAAGCTGATAGATTTTTTATAAAATTTTATTAATTGCGTAGCTCTGATGTATGGCATATTCTGTGAGCAATGTAACAAGAAATCTGCTTTTTGAAGAAAAAACAGTCCTGTAAATCAAAATAAACGGATTAAGGATCAAGGGCTTCAGGGAAAACTAAAACTCAATGAACCAACTCACCTTTTGTCACACCAAATGGAATAGACAGCTTTTTTAAATTTTCCATTTTATACAGACTTTTGACTAGCACAGATAGTACACAGATATATGACCTCTTGTGGCTCAATGTGTCCTTTGTATTATAGTTTAGCTCAATATATTTTGAAGCTTAAACTCTCTCCAGTAAGCTGTGTTACTCAACTATTTGAGAAAAGCTGCAAACTAGAGATTTGTTCTTTTACATAACAGTTCCAAGAAATTACAAAAGGTTACAAAAAGGCAACTGTGAAAAATAGAAGTCTCGGAAAAATCTTTAAAAGCACCATTACTGAGAAGAGTAAATCAAATTCACTGGCTTCTCCTCATACATGTCAGATGAAGACATCTCACATTGCATCAGTTACTTTTAGTGTGATACATATAAAACCCATTAGAGAGACATTAACAACAAAAGCCCTGAGGACAGCCTGCGGGCCCTGTTCTACCCACAATCCCATCTCCCCTCTCCATCTGAGGCAGCCATTTCTACTAGTGTCTTACTGCTATAGAAAGATCTGTCACCTTCTCTCCCAGGGGTCTCTGCTAAAGGCCTTTGTACCATTCACTGTCTGGCCGATTCATCCAGCTTACAAAGGCTAGATAGAAAAATACTATAATGAAAAGGAAGAATAGATAATATCAGTTAGAGAGTGGCCAACTGGTTTAAATTCCTTGTTTGTTGTTGCATTCTCAGATTACAATAAAGTGTAATCATGTTTAAAGACTCTCTCTTGTGATTTGTATTAGATAATAGGCTACTAGACAGAGATAGATAGATAAATACTTCATTGATCTGCCAAAGGGAAAATTCAAGTATTGCAGCCATCTCAGACACACCTTTAAGTAAAAACAATACAGCATAACATGAGGAGAGGAGGAGGAGAAAAAAAGAAACAACTCCCAGACCATGTTCCTGTAGGGGAGCATAATGTGGAACCAGGACACAAAAAAAATACCTCCAAACATAAGCACATAAAAACATAAGCTCAAGTTGAAACAGGGGAGGTGGAGTTAGAGGCAAAACACGATAGGATACAATACAAAAACACAATACAATAAAAAGGCATGGTAAATTTTCAGGTAGGGGATCAGGTGGGTTTTATTATTATAGGCCAAATTACCAAAATTTGGCCTATAGTCAAATTTGACCCTGCTCACTGTTGTAGAAGTTTTCAGCTTGCCCAAGAAAGGGTGTAGATCAACTGGATGTCTTAATACAGGCCAGTGGGGACTCAAGTCATTATGATCTTTGAGTGTTCAAGCCCCTTGACTATGCTTTCAAAAGAAGGGGTTTATAAATCAAGTGTAGTGAGACTATGAATGCCAGTAGACTCCAGTTAGACAACAATATACCACAGTTTAGATAATGGTATGCCAATGGTATGCCAAGAGATGATGGTGTTGTAAATATAGCTCTTGTGAGGCGATGTTAAAATGAGAAAAGTAAGAGGAGAATATAAGACTTAAATTCTCTTACACTCACTGTAAGTTGTGAGTTTTATATGTAGTTTTGAGCAATAAAAACACTTGGAATTGAATGCAAAACAAATAATTTAAAAGTATAGTCAATGCAGTTGAGGCAAAGCAATTAATCTCCATAGAGACAATCAGGTGCCTGACACCAGAAAAGTTACACAGTGCACCTTTACGTACTGCATTTATTAATTGTTTTTTTAATATTTTGAAATAACCCAGATTTGGACTATTCCCCACACTTTAGGAAACATTAATTTGATAAATAAATCATACTTTCTGACTGATTTTATTGACTGTTATTTATTAATTATTTTCAGATCGGCCCCCAGCTCCTGTGAATGTGTCTGTCATGCACCTCCGGTCTGACTCCGCCACTGTGTCCTGGGATGTTCCAGAAGGAGACACAATCATCGGCTTCTCCATCTCACAGCAAGTACGAGACCTCTTTGTTTTTGCTTCATCTGAGACTAAAGGTGGACTGTAAAGGTCAAGGCTGTGACATTATGTTCTCATTTAAATCAATAACTCTACGTAAAAGGGCAAAATTCAAAGAGGAAACTGCTAGGGTTGAGTTTTGGCAAATGTTGTGTTTGGCAGTGAGCCTTCATCATATTGTGCTGAAATGTCCTGGCTTGGCTCCCAGTAACAGGTGAACTGAGATACACCAAAATTTGTGGCACAAGGTGAGACAGGTGTTTTAGGCACAGGAATATATTGTCAAAATTAATAAATGATTGGTCTGGGTAGCAAGTTGCACAAATGATTTCCTTCCAGTGTGTATTTTTAGTAACTTGTTGTTTTGCATGGAATACATAGTGCCTTTCAAGCCCCAAGTGAAAAGATGTGGCTCTGCTGATTTGTCAAGAGTGACTATATGTAAGGCTGCGGTCTGAATGCAAAATAGTAAATGCAACAGCTACTGAGAGAAGAAAAGAACACAACATCTTTACTAACTTTGTACAAGAGCTTTGAAAAGCATATTTCTGCACAGCCATTTTGCAACAAAACTGATTCAACAGGCCTACGTCTCTAGCGGAATGTTAAGTTACAAAGACGTGTGGTCTGTTTTTGCTTTATGATATTGCCAAGCAGCTCCAAGGTGCTCTATGTGACTTTTCGTTGGGTCAGCCAAATGTTTGTCCCAGTGAAGATGTTATTACTTTGCCTGAAATGTCCCACAGTATGGCCTTAAATGTAAATGTCATTTCAATGTATATTTTTTGCACTTGAAATTCAATAAATACAAAACAGATAAGTTGAATGCCATAATATGGAGTCTTCAGGGCAAAACAGTAATGGTCACTCACCACTGTTTAATGGTCTACAACAGCAATTTAATGTAGCAGTGAGTGTGTGTATTTAACAGCATTCCCCGTTGTTTAAAAAGTTATCCACTTTTCTGTGAATACCTGAATAAAATCGGACGATAAAGGTGCCGACATCTGGCAAAGACCCGCTCTTACAGATGGGCTGAGGGCGCACAGAGCAGTGAAAAATCTCTTATTGCCCAGGGCCAAAAATAGCACCAGTAACAATCTAAAAGGTCAATAAATAAAACTGGCTTGAACGTTCATGCCCCCAAGTGTTTACTCAAAACTACTACATTCACGAGACAGCTTTTCAGTTTTCAGTTTTCTCCAACTCCATATGTTGGGAATGTGGTGAACTGTTAGTGTAATAGTGTAGTCTACATGCTGTTTACATGGATCCTTAACATTTTCTACCTGGTCACCTTCTCATTGTCATGCTCCAATTACTGAGATATGGTGGTTTTTGTAACATTTTCTGTTTTTCTATAGCGCAATTTATCACTGCTGGACGTAAGTACAGGCTGTTTCTCTCAATGTTCAAAATTCATGCATAAATATCAGTGTAAAGACAGTGAAAGGGTTTCATCAGGAAGGACACCCTATGTCAAATCAAAATGCAAATCACAGCCCAATAGGCAGCAGATGATTCGCTTTGGCGGTCGGTCCCATAATGGAAAGATGAAATATGTAAATATGTATATCTATGCATCAGACTTTGTGAGATTATTCTTCACAACTTTGAATATAAGTATTTATTTTATCAGTTATCTTTATTTGAAAAAAATATGAGTGTTTTTTTTTATATGGTTATGATGCTAGATAAAATGAAATAGATAGAAGGCCTATTTCATGTCCTACATTTTAGGGCCTAAGGATGATTGGTCATAGTGCACATGCAAAAGGCTCGGTGCTGGTCTTCAGACTGATTATTTTCTGAATGTCTCTCCCCTCTCTTTGCCCCCCATTTCTGCTCAGTACCCTGTTGGCTCTAGAGGATCACCATGCCAATCCTATCGATATCTTCTGTAAATACATTCTTCTGTCTGTCTGTGTGTGTTTGCAGAGGCAGGATGGGCACATGCAGCGCTTCATTCGGGAGGTAAACACCACCAGTCGCTCCTGTGTGCTCTGGGACCTGGAGGAGGAGACGGACTACATCATCCAGGTGCAGTCCATTGGTCTGTACGGAGAGAGCCAAGCCAGCAAGAAGGTCCATTTTCGCACGCTCAAGAAAACTGACCGCTTCCCCTCCAACAGCTCCAATCAAGGTGAGAACACTATCAAATATCATGAATTTAGCGATATAGCAATATGGGGCACTAAAGTATAATTACCATAATACTGCTGTAACTGTTGTACTGTTGTATGTAATAAAATGTGTTTACAAGCATTCAATGGAACCACAAGATTACAGTGAAAATATCTTCTGTATGTGAAGAGTTGCAAATATTTCTTGTTACTAGTTACTTGGGACTAGTTGGAGAAATACATATTACTTCTTCAGAAAGCAAAATTTCACATCTCCACAGTACAAAACTTGCTAAAGCTGTAATTTTGCCTTCAAACAATGACAATGAAACACTAAAATTCATGAGATTCTTGAATCTGTTTAGTAGTTCATAGTTTTAGTTCAGTGTTCTTGTAAATAAAATTGTAATATTTGTTAGATCATATTTTTCTGCTTGTAAAAGAGAATTTTGAATAAAGAAAATTTAAGTTATCTGCACTTTTTAGAAATTATGGCTAAATCAACAAGCCATTCATTAATGGCTTTATAGCAAAACTTTTACCACACTATTCAAACCAAGCTGTGTTTTATGGGTGCTTTTCAACAGAGTCCTTGAGTACTGTTTTCCAACCACAGCAGAATGGGCAGTTATTGCAGTGCGTCACATTTTATAATTAAAAGCTTACACTAAAGTAATGGGATTGAGGTAGATTCAGAAAACACACATATTGATCTGAGGAAACGAAACCCACAGGAGCCCATTGAAATTCAAATTATCCTTCTTCATGTGGATGTTTAATATGGAAAAGAGGGTTTCCAGGCTACCTTTACATTTAGCAACGTAATCACATTATCAGTAAGGCCCTAAGTAGGAAATATAAAAGCACCATTGATTTCTATGTATAAGAGAGGGGCTTTGCGGGCTTTTTGTTGTGTTTGGTAACTAAACAAATTGGTTTAGTTTTCTATAGGAGGCACTTGCCTGTGACAAAGGGATGCTTAAATGTACATGGGTTACATAGACCAGATTATTAAGGGTTAAAGCACTGTCAGCATGAAGGTATACTGTGTCAAATACCTGTTGGTAACTGGAGCCATTCAATTACCTATGTTTTTAATCAGTAGTGCTTTGATTATAGCTGTTTAGTTGGTTAAGGTTAAAGGTGCACTGTGCAGTTTTTCTGGAGGAGGGCTCGCTGTGTGTTTGTCTCCATGGAAATGCTCTTACTTTGTCTAGAATGTTCCACAGTATAGATCAAACTTACAGTATCCATCACATGGGAGAGCAGGTTACAGCACTGCACTATGTTACAGTTCAGATCTGTGGAAATTGCACTTATTCACAGAATGACTTATTGTATTTTTGAGCAATAGAAACACACATAATGAATAAATGCAATACGAATGTGTTTAATGTTATGCCATGGAACATTCCAGGGAAAGCGATAACATCTCCATGGATACGAGCAGGTAGTGGACCCTCCACCAGAAAATACTGGATACTTTATTGGCACAATGAAGTTTGGTTACCAATAAAACACATCTATGTTACAAAATTATTTACAGAACTATTTTACAGTAAGCCCAAGCTACTGTAAAAACTATTTACAATGTTTGTTATTGCCCAAAAACATTGACAACCTCTGGTTTAATGGATGTCCTAATAGACTCTAAAGGACACCATAAGTGCAGTGTTGAATACAAACTAATTGCTTCACTGATTACTATCGAACCTTAAAGGTTAAGTCATCCATTAAATTGTACTGAACATTTGTCACTTTATGAGGAGAAATCAGGCTATAATGAGACCATTATTAATGTAATGACTAGACATTTTAAAAGAGCATTTGAGACAATTAGCAGTGGGAGATATAATACTTACTTGTAATTGACTAAAGTTGGTAGAATGTACTTCAAATGAGTGATCTGCTTCCCCTTTAGTCACAAAAGAAGTTTTATGGACTTCCTATCAAAAATACTTTTCAATCTGGGTCAACCGTCAGATGTATTAAATGGTGAGAGCGAGTGAATAACAAAAACAAAAACTGTTTTTCTGACCTACTTGGATGAGTCAAGAGGCCATAAATCTTGATTAATGGTGCATCCTCAATCTTGACCCCTTTTAAAAGAAGTAAAAGCATTACTTAAACTCAGCACTTTGCCTGGACACTTGAAAATGTATAGTCATCTAAACAATTTCCTAATGTAAGACAATAGTAAGCAGTCACCAGTGGAGTTAGTAGCAAGCTAATAAACATGCTAACGTGTCAGACTTGAATTGGTGTCTTTGTCTATGGCTGTGTTCCTGCCAGTTTAATAATGGTATCTCACCTGACTCAGCGAAAGGAACACTTTTATGAACGACCTTCGTCAGCATTTCCTGTTTGCACCACTAGGACCAGTCTATAAAATTACAGTGAAAATACTTTCTCGGTCAAAGTCAAACACGAGGCATCAATAAACCAGATTTGATTTTGTATGCCAGCCAATTGTACACGTGAAAATCATTTTACTGTAAAATTCAACAGCTTGAAGGGAATGGGTGACTTTTATAACAATCACTTTTAAATGGTGTCATATCATACATATCAGTTCTAAGCAGGAATGATGTTTTTAGTATTAAAGTAATATGAGTTAAGTCATTATCACTTGACTGTAAACTGTAAACAATGACTCATAGCTACTGTTACCACTACTACTGGATCCAAATCGAATCTGACTCAAACTCACATTTAATTGTATGAATTTTTCATCATGAGCCCTTAACAATAATATATATTTAAAAATAACAACATTGAGAGAGTACATTTTCCATGATATATTCATATTCAAATAAAGTTACATAAAATGTTCATATTCTGAGATGTCTGACTGTCATGCTTGAGGAGATTTGAATGAATTTATAATGACTGCTGTCTGAAAGTTCACACACACACACACACACACACACACACACACACACACACACACACACACGCATAGAGGTGTGCATTTCTAGAATCTTCTAGTGACTGGCTGTTGCCTCACTTGGCTCTGTTCTGTGCTTTTCTGTGTGGGCCTAAAAGCATTGGGACGTTAGACGAGGCTCACAACAACACAGAAATGGGATGTTCCACTTTGGGCCCTGAGAGGAAAGCACCAATGTTATGTAATACAAAAGCCCCAAAACAGCAACCTCCTTCTGAGTCATAAGCATTTGGTGTGTGGAGACTGGAGAGTAGTCTATTTGGGGATAGAAAGAAAACCTTATTCAACCGTTTATTTAATAAGCACAGCCAAAATACAGAAAACTGCTGATTCCTTTGGAATAACTGAACCCTAGCATTTTACCACACAGTAAATAAGAGTATGGATGGGGAAAGCGTGATAACTAAAAGTGGAAACAGGACACATGTCATTCTGCATTATTCCATAGAAATATAATTATTATATCACTCTACCCCAGTATGAAACATTTTAGGTTAGTAGTTTCTTGGTAATATGCTAATATACATGTCTTTTGCTGCAAAATGCATTCATCCTGTTATCCCAAGGCAACAATTCCTACACAAAGTAATTCAAAGTGCTTCACAGAATAAGAAAATTCACAATACAAACAAATCAAAACATAAATAATTAAAAACGTCATTAAAAAACATCATATGCACAGCTAAACAGGCCTGTCTGTCTCACATCAAGGCATTCCAGTTGGTACCACATAAAAAAGCAATACTTCCTAGTTACCATTTTTGTATTAGGATTGAAAGAAAGCAAATAACAGCCACACAGCCTCAGAGAGCACTGTGGTATTTAGAAATAAGTCTTTAGCTTTTGTAGAAATGTAACCACTATATCCAAAAGCGTGGATTTAATTTTTATTCTAACATGGAGCTTCTAAATGATTTATTAAGTTGTAAGTGCTAAAAAAGCTTATATATCTCTTTCTTTTTCAGTTTATTTTATTATTTGACTTTTTCAGGGACATTTTCCAAATGTGTATTATTTTGCAAGCAGACATCAGTAAACTGTTGTAAACTTATCAACCTGCATTTTCAACTCTGTCAGTTGACATGCCATTTGGAGTGTCACATCTAATCTTCTACACCAGCAGCATGAACATCACTATTCACCAACTCTTCAGTCATATCAATCTCTTATATAATGGTCGCCCCTGACAACCACAACCACTGAAATGATGGCACCTGCGGCTGCATGAGTTGTCATGCACTTTTACATGAGAGGAAACAGGTACAGTTTCAAAATGGCAGCTAAACTTCACTCCGTTATATTATATTGTGCTGTAAAGACAAGTTGTTTTAGCTATCTTAGTTTTGTTATGTGTGTGTGTGGGGGGGGTGCATGTGTGCGTGTGTGCGTGTGTGCATGTGTGCCTGTGTGCAAGTGCATGTGTGTGCATTATGATTACTGTCTTAACCGTAACTGTGATTTTATTATCACATTTATTGACAAATGCATGGAAAAACTTGTTTAAAAATGTTTACTTCACAGCTGGCTATTTATAATTATCCTTTCTTACACATGTCAAAGAATTTGTGGAATATATATTTCATATTATATCTGTTTCAAATTGATGAAAAAATCGGTTCTTGTTTTTTTTTTAACAATTTAAAAGAAAATATAAAATCTTTTCAAGAGGAAAAAGTCAGATATAACATGCCAAATGTCACATACAACTTGAAACTGAATACCATTAATTGCCACTTCTAAAAAAGTGTACACCTTTAATCAGGTGTTTAAACTGATCCTGACACTATATTAAACAATAGCACTCATGGCAACATGTTTACTTCTGTAAGTCATAATACTGTACAAACCTCTACATCTGCTGCTGTTTCTTGGCACAGCTATATGACAGTGGAGCAGGAGCCCCAATGTGTTATATGTAACACTTCTAGACACAGTTCACAGACAACATCCTGGGATTTGGGCTCTGGACAGGACCAGGGAGTGAGGTGCACTCATTAATTCAGTGGTGCAGTGGTGGTGCTACAACTGCCATACTCCTGTATGATCTAAAGAAAGCTCAGAACACAAGCCTATGCAAGTATAGAGATATGAAATATGTATGAAACAGCAGCAAGACAGTCCATTCAGCTCATCAGAAGAGACTGCTGTTTGTTTGAAGTGGGGCTATGCATCAAACATGCTTCAGGAGACATTGTGCATATGTGTACTCTGAAATACTGTGTGAGCCTTTAAGCACATGTGTGTTCATGTGTGACTCAGGTTAGGCCAAAGAAGTGTTTGTTTGTTTCTATATTTGGTAGTTTTCAGAAGAGCAAGATTTTCCTTTTGGGTTTACTTGGTATTCTAATATCTAAAAGATAAATTCACAAATGTTTCACCTGATCATTCCTATTGGTGACTACACTCAGGTACTTGCTATATTACTATCAAGATATGCATTTTAACAATATTCATTTTAGTTTCCTCCATTTGTATTAAATGATTGGCTGAGGGATTATTGGAATGAAACTAAGTCATTACTGGAGAGATTTTTAGCTGTGGGACTAGACATTTAAGTATTGTTAATGTTTCAATGTTCATTTTATTTGAAGTCGCAATTCTCTTTTTATAATTAATGGAGGATTGAAACCATAAAGCTTCTGCACAGCTATCAGAATGCAATGTAGAATGCAGTCAATGGATTCGATGCACAAAATACTAAAGCTATCATCTGTAAGTTTGCTTTATTGTTTTTAACCAGAATGCAGATTCCCCACTCCCCCTTCACCTTGTATTTGTTCATATGCTACTTGGTCTTTTGCTGTCAGACCAAAGGGGGCACACTATCAGACAGAAGTAACATAGATAGTATCGAGTGGTGATGTGTGAAAATGCAACTGGGGAGTGTCAGACAATTTAAATACAGATGGTACCTTGAAGTCTTTTTTTTTTTTTTTTGTCTTATAATATGATGAAAATGCACTTCTGCTTATTTAAACCTTCAGTTATTTATTTTTCCTTTTTGTAATAAGTTAGTATTTTTTATTTTTCATTTTTTTGCTTAGCTCTTTTTTATGGTTTATTTTTGTGTGGCTGTTGAGAGCCTATAAATATGGCTGTCAGTCAGTAGTGCACTCTCTGCTCTGCTCCTCCGCTCCATGTGCTTTGCTCCTCCCAGCCCAGCTCACCTTGTGCGCTCTGTGCCCTGCCACTGGCCTTGCTGCTGTCAGCAGGGTGCACGGTGCTGTTACCTAGCTTTTTGTTAGCCGTTAGCCTTTTGTTTTGATCTGGTGGGACCGGCTGTGTTCTTTTCTTTGGTGCTGGCACCAATAAGACAATAAAACACTAACTGTACAGAGTTGGCCTGATGTTGCACATTTTTGTTCTATTTGGCCGGCTCATCAGGCTCATTATTACTTCCTCCATTATTTTTGGTTTTTAAATAATTTAGAACAACTAAAAACAGGAACAAACGAAAAGACAACATCAAAATAAAGAAATTAAAAGTCAAACCTTGACTCCTGTGTCCTTTTAAATATGTTACCCTTCATGTGGCAACACAAGGTCAACTTAAAATTTTGCTTTGGATCAACATAAGACAATAAAAAGATGATTTCTAGGTCAACAATTTATTTGCACAATGTTCTATACAGTTGCTTTCCAAGTAATATTTTCAACCCTCTTCTTGACAGCACAAATAATGAGTATTTAAAAAGCCTTGTTAGCAGCTCTGAGATGCGCCATGACACAAGGATGATAGCTTTATTACATGGATTATGGTTGTGATAGAGCTTGGTAATAATGATGTACTAATAAACTGGCTATGTGATGGCCAGAGTAGAGCAGTGACCCCAGTCTTCACTTGACATTTGAGAGTAATACTTACGTCCATATTAACTCATCTACAGAGCTCTCGTGGGAATAGACAGACAGACAGGTACATATACAAGAGATGAACCTTTCATTAATTCTCACATAACGACCTTAAACCCAAGTGAGAGGCCAGTCCTGCTTTTTATAGAGAGCCCTGTAGCAGTTAAAATGATTTCGAGGTATTTTGGTGTATTAACATAGGCAAGAATAAATGGAAGTTATGATTCTAAAACATATAATTAAATAATAATTATAATTAAACATTTGAAAGTAGATTTTGCATTAGCCTTTGTAATACATCATCTGTATATCTGGAACCTGCAGCAATGCATATTAAAGGGCCTAAATCATGTTATTTTCAGATATATGTTATAATGTGTTTTCATCATCAGAAACTTACCTACAGTTGTTTTTTGTTTCATTCATACTTGTTGAACACAAAAATCCTGCAGATTTAGGCAGATGTCTTCTCTGAAACAGAAAACTTCCACTTTGTGATGTCAAGTGGTAATACAGGAAGTACTCCATTGTGTATTCAAACAAAATGTGAAAGGTAGCTGTTAACTTGAAAACTGCTGCTTCATGATGAAGCATTTTGAGCTTTTGAGATATAGACCAACTTATAATAAAGGGTTACTCAAACATATGTGAATGAAACAAAACACAACTCCAGTTTTTGAAAAGGTAACAACATACATGATTTAAAGCTCAAAAGAGTAAAGTTTGTGTAATTTAGGCCCTTTAATCAGAGACAGGTCAAAATAAACACATATTACCAAATAATCATTGATAGTGGTGGCAGTGAAAAAAACATCTGAACAATATTTCAAAGCATGACTGCAAATTTACAATAATGTAGCACTGATAAATAAAGCTGTAAATAAAACATAGTATACACTGGAGCTGGGACAACTGGCAACTGGATTCTCTAAAAGATTCAATTGGGCAGAGTGCTGGTCTGGATCAGGTCCATGGGGAGATAGTTTGGAAAGTGGGAAAGAGCCTATAGTCAATCCACTTAGAGGAGGATTAATGCTATAAGATTAATATGTGGTAATGCACATTCTCCCACAGCTACACTTTTTGTTAAATGCAGCAGCGTTATTGGGGATAAATGAAGTGAAGCTGATCTGGGCTGGCTTTCTATAACAGAGACTTACATTACCTGACAATTATGATGAAACCATTTTTTATATTTTTATTGTATTTAAGATTTTATTAAGTATAGCGTCCATGTTTTCCAGATGATCCCACAGTGCAGGGCCTGGACAAGTCAAGACACCTCCAAACCGGAGAGATGATCATTATCGTGGTGGTTCTGGTCATGTGGGCAGGTAGGTCCTCACACACTACTATAAATTCTTACTGTATATATGCTCATTAACAAAATACTGCATTGAGTATATATTGTTTCATTGTATTTAATAAAGTACAATAAAAGTCACTAAAAGAATGTGCCTGGAATATTGTACGGGATGGTATTAAACTTACCTACCTCCATGGAGACAAGCAGGTCAAGTTACATGTCAGATCTGTAGACAAGCGTGTCCACCCACAATAAGAATGCATGCTTTTCAACTTCTTTTTTTTTTTTTTTTTTAGCACCAATAACACCTTAAATGAATAATGCAAGACGAATGGCTTTAATGCCATACTGTGGAACATTCCAAGGAATGTAATAACATCACATCAGAAAAGTTATGAAGCGCACCTTTTAGTTTAGTTTGTTGGCTTATATTAACAGGGACCATGTGCAGACACATTAATCTCGTAAAGGAAGAAATGCTTTATTACAGATTTAGCTAAAGCTAGCCTCCATCTGCAGTCCCCAGGCAGATTAACAAACAATTAAAATACATTCAAATATCCATCCATTTACAATCAAACCATGCAGTCTCTAATGCTTTAATTTAAAAACACCACACTCCATATTTCCATATTTAAAATTACCCAAATACCAAGTCAGATGTTACTATATAAAGTACCATGTACAAATCAGAGTTAAATGCACTTATTTGATAAATTTTCCCCATTAAACAATACATTTCTACCACACGGTCAGCTCTTCTGGTGGTGCATATCTGACATGGCTGATTTACCTGTATGTTATATTATCTTGTTGTCACATCTTTACATTGACCTGAAAATCAATAGCCTCTACTTAATGCTCAGTCACCCTGAGCTTGACCCGGAGCTTCCCTGTTAACTGCAGTTAGGTCCCTGCTTGGCTGCCCTGAGTCTCACTGTAAAATAAACCTGACATTCCCTTTGGCCTTTTGCAGCTCCGTCATGTCAAACTAACGTCACACTCTCTTACTCTAGATCTGGGCACTTCCTCAGTAAAAGTTTGTGAGCTCCTCAGAGGGAACTGCCTAATGGTGTAGACTAGGCACAATGAAAGGTTTATGTCTGACAGGATGTAAGGAGTGAAGCTCTTCTCCCAACTGAGAGAAGTGTTGTCAAGTAATATTAATCATGAGAGAAGGCAGAGTATACCAGAGGACAAAGACTCAGGAAGGATGAGGTTAGAGAAAATATTTTTACTCAAACTTATCTGTATTGAATCAATCACACTATTGAGTTGCCATTTGTGCTGCAACAGCCCTTGGCAAATTTTATTTTCTAGTTCAAGAAAATTAATTTTTACGGCATTATTATAAAAGCATGTTATAGAAAAAGATTTGACTGACAGACAATTTTGTTGGATGAGGACCATAAAGAAACAATTTCAAGGAACTAACATTGTTGCTCTCTGTATATTTTTTTCCATCATGGTTCAACATCAGAGCAAGAGAAGGGGCTAATAATAAGGTTCAAAATAGCGTGCAGGTCCTTTAATATTTAGATTCTGTGCAATAACTGAAATAAAATAACTGAAACATTATAAAAGGCTCTGATTCTGAAAAAAAGTATGGACACGATGGAGTGGTAAAGCCAGAGTCATCACCAAAAACACACAAATGAATCATGTAAGGGTATGTGCAATATGAAGCTGTGCAATGCAGTGGGATGAGATTTCTAAATGTCTGTTATTCTCCAGCTTGTTTATCATGTTACTGCACAGCAAATTCGAGAGTTTTAATTCAACTCGTACATTGTTAATTTTAACACTTTTACCATGCAATATGGGGTCCACAATAACGGGAGTTATAACTACACTTCCCAAAGTGTAGAAGGCTCAACACTGGTAAAGTGACATAACCACCTCCTCATAGCTGAATTTGACACGATTTGAAGATTTGATTTTTTTTTAAACATGTATTATGGCCTAATACATTTACTTGAGTCACTATTTAAAGATATTGTACTTTCTTCCCACTGTGAAAATACCAGACATGAGTACTATTTCATGTTTCATCCTCGCAACTGCATTAACTTTAAATGACAAATCAGATGTTTCGTCCAGTTACTTTTAACTTAAGTTACCTGAGGAGTAGTTTCCCCGAATACTTTTACTCTTAGCTGCTAAACACATTTTTTGGTCTTTTACTTTTTACTTAGACTTGAGAAATATTTTACCTTACTCTTAATTTAGTACAATTTGTGGCTATTTTACCCAATTTTCATGGACATCAGTGACAGCAACATTGACTGTCATAGGGTAAGTTAGTTAGCTTACTACTACTCAATACTACTACTAGCATTAGACCAAATATATTTAATATTTTTATGAATTAAATTAACTGTAGAGTGTCCTAAAAAGGTAAAGTAATCTGACTCGGGGCATGTGAGAGCTCAGGTGGTTGGACTTGAGGCTTGTTGAGTTCAGGTTCTGCTGAAAAACAAACTCTATTAACTGTTAGCTTTGCACTGTTAGCTCTTAGTTTAGCTTCGGACAGTGAAATGTGGCTTCTCTCTCGGACTGTAGCTCTCCTCCTGGAAACGTAACAAAACCCCACACTGTTGTAGTATAATACTCAAAATAGACACTAACTAAGTGTTTGACGCTAACAGTGTGAATCAGCAACTACTAATTTTATGTCAACACTGTGACTCAACAACTACTTATTTTACTCTACAGCACTGTCATAGTTGAAATAACTCTTTACTATCTTGAAACATATCTGGATTTTCTTCACTTTACTCACAACAACACCAACACCGTGAATTTAACACTTTAACAATTTGCTCTGTGATGTTCGTTCTAACATGACACTGTAATCACAGTTCTTGTCTTTGTTCTAGTCTTGCCCTGTCTAAGTGTACATAATCTCTGTAAATAATTTGTGGTTTTTTTTTTTTTTTTTTGGTGTTGTTTTGGACAGGTATTTTGGACAGACTATTCAATATGTGAACCTGTGTTTGAATGCCTTCATACACTGTGCTGTATTATCTCACCATAAGATAGAAAGTGCACTTCAGTTTCATTTAAAGACTGAAAAAGTGCTAATATAAGTGCTGTATGAAGCCTTATCAAAAACATATTTGATGGAAAAGGCACTTGAAAATCCTTGCTTTTCAGAAAGTGGGAAAATATGTGTAAATGAGGAAAATCTACTTGGCCCAGAAAAAATACACTACAATACTTCTATTGTTTGGGTAGAGATAGCTTTCCCTTAAAGATTTTGTAATAATACCTGTAAATGAATGTGTGTTAGCTTGATAAAATGTAATTGCACACCATTTAAATGAAACCTAATCTGCATCAAGGACAATGATTCACGGCTATAATATCCAATGCATATGTAATTTGCTCACTGGAAAAAAAAAAATATTGTCTGGTATTTAATTTCTCTTCTTGATTGCTTGCATTCCCATTAGCCAAACTGTGGTATCTCTCTCTAATGATATCCTCTTATTTAAATTCAGATTGGCAGTGAGGCAGCCCAAGTGAACTAATTTGGAAGCGTTTGGAGGTGAAAAATACCACACAGAAAACCCCAGCAGAATTATAGATGAGTGTGTAACTGTTCACATGACAGTAGAATCTCAGTTATATTTACTTATTATTTTGGCAAAATTGTACTTCTCAGAGTAGTTTTCAGATTTGAAAAGTTTTGTCTCTTGCGCCACTTGTTCAATTTTTCTTATTTTTGTGGTTTATTCTTTGAAAATACCACATTTTGAGCATTACTTATTGTTTTGTCCTTACTTTTTTCTTACTCGAGTAATTTCATGGACCAATACTTCTACTTGAGGAATAATAAGTAACGTTGAGTAAATTTTTTGGCTACTCAAACCTCAGATCCTGCAGTGACTGAGTGTGTCTCTCTCACCTCTTGTAGCTGTGATCGCCCTCTTCTGTCGTCAGTATGACATCATCAAGGACAATGACTCCAGCAACAACAAAGAGAAGGCCAAGCCGTCGTCTGAGCACAGCACGCCCGAACACCACAGCGGGGGCCTACTTCGGAGCAAGGTGAGGTCAAGGGATCACAGTGGGGTAATTCTCGTGAGAGTCAGTGCCTGACACAGGCTAATGTGTTCAGTTAATGGGCAAATACATGTTGGCCTTATGGTAAGTTCAAGATTTTTAACAACTAATATAAACACAAATCCTCTTCAAAACTTTGGAGCATAGATAGATAGATAGATAGATAGATAGATAGATAGATAGAAAGATTTGATCAAATTATAGTGAAGAATTGAATAGCTGTATGGCATGTGGTACAAATGACTTCCAGAGTCTATTAGTGGAGCAAGGCAACGATAACAGCTTGTTCCCAAAGGTGCTCTCCTGTTCAGTGATGGTGCTGTGCACGAGGTGCTGGGAGTTATCCAGGATGAGCAGGAGCTTGTTTAGGGCCCTCTTCTCAGCCACAGATGTGAGTGAGTCAAGCTCTGCACCCACCACAGATCCTGCCTTCCTTACCAGCTTATCCAACTGCACTGTGTCCTTCTTCATGAGGCTTCCTCCCCAGCAGATCACAGCGTTGGAAGAGGACACTGGAGATAACTGTGTGGTAGAATATCAGCAGGAGCTTCTGGCAGATGTTAAAGGATGTCAGTCTTCTAAGAAAGTACAGCCTGTTCTGTCCCTTTTTGTAGAGCAGGTCTGTATTTTCTGACAAATCCAGTCTGTGGTGGAGATGTAAGCACAAATACTTATAACTCTTTAAAACCTCTACAGTGTCCCCCTCAATAGTCACAGGTTGCAACTGTGGCCTGTTCCTCCTAAAGCCCATCACCATCTCTTTGATCTTTGGAGTGTTCAGTTGAGGGTGGTTAGCCCTGCAGCACAAAACCACAAAGCCCCCGATGAGCTGCCTGTACTCCTCTTTGTCACCGTTCTTGATACAGCCCACAGTGGCTGTGTCATCAGAGTACTTCTGCATGAGACACAGCTCTAAGTTGTGTCTAAAGTGTATAGTGTAAACAGAATTGGTGACAGTACAGTCTCCTGTGGAGCTCCAGTTAAATGCGCTGGAGAAGTCAAAAATGGTCATCCTCACAGCACAACTGCCTTTGATGATGAGAAAGGGATCTATGAAGCAGGTACGCCCACTCCCACTTTCTCCCGATAAGCAAACTGCAGAGGGTCGAAGGCATGGTATTGCTTAAAGTGGCCATATTATGCTATTTTCTGATCATGTTTCCTCATCACAAACATACATGGTGTTGTGTTTTGTTTCACACATATTTAACACATAAGCCCTGCATCTTTAAGCTGAGTTCTTCTTTTAGTGCAAGCAATACAGGAAGTGCTTCACTGTGTTTTCAAACTCCATACACCATCGCTATAATAATTGATGATTTTAGCCATGGAATTTCCTATCTCTACTTAACAAAAGAAAAAAGGTATCCATTAACTTGAAAACTACCTCTTCTTGATATTTTGGTGCTTTGGAGGTATAGACAGACTAATAATAAAAGGCTACTCAAACTTGTGTAAATGATACAAAACACATCTCCAGGCTTGAAACTCACAAGAGTCAATTTTGTGTAATATACGACCATTCAAGCTCTGAATTCAAGTTGATATTATATTAATTAGCTTAATCAGTCACAATATTGCATCTACATTTTTTAATTTTGTGGCAATGTAGACCTATAGCTCAACAATATATCCATTTATCTATATCATGTTGTAAATGTTTTTGAAGATATGTAAAATGTAGATATCAGGTACATCTGTATTGTTATTGAAATATATATTACTCAAAATGTTGCAGTACTGGAGTGGGTAATTTCACAGACAGATTTGTTAGGGTGAAAGGAGAGATTAAGAGTCAAAATGCAGAAGAAATACTGTTCGGGAACTTACAATGTAATCTCAGCAAGTCTGTAAAGTAGACCTGCCAGAAGAAATGATTGATAGGGTTAGGTATATAATAGAAACAATGTGTTTGCTTTTTACTTACAAAAAGTGTATTGGATCCAAACAAAGTCACAAAGTCATGCATTTGGATTTCCCCAGACCAGGCTCATCTGTCTATTTGAATTGCTCATTAAATATTTAAAGTTTCTGACTGTGGGGGTCTCTAAAGGCTGTCTTGAATGTGGTGTAGACTATTAAAAAGGTTGCAATAATGAGGCCATGAGGCTGGATAAACAAGAGCGTCTGCACTGAGAGAGGGGACTAGTGTCTCTTGCTCTCAGACTGGACTAAAGGTCTAAAGGCCTACAACATACAACTCATTTATCTGCTCATTAGTTTGATAAATAACAATTGAAGGGACATGTGCAAAAGGACCTAGCATGAGTCAATTCATATATGCTATCATACATCAGGGAGGACAATAACAATAAAACTATAAACTTTATTCCAACTTTTGTTGCTATAAAACTTGCCTGGTTGACTGATGGGCTGCAAACTTGACACCTGGTCTGTGTTTGGGGAAGGAGAACCTATGAAATGAAAACACAATATTGTAAAAAGATGGAGCAAGTAAAAGTCTAAAGTTGCTGCAATAATAGCTAAACTCTTATATATTGCACATGTAAGGCCTAAATCAATGCTTCAGTATTATCATTTCAGTTATTTTAGGTGTTACAAAGAAACCAAAAAAACATTATAGAAAAAAGTTATACATTCAAAATACTGCAAACTAAAATCTAGTTACATACACTTTCAAATAAATATCTACATTTTAAGCAAGTTTTAATCATTCATTTGATCTTTTTCTCCCATTTTTTCCAGTTCCATCCTTCAGTTCCCTCTATCAACATTATTGAAGTCTGAGAAGTCCTGTCCCCTGTGTCACTGCACTGAAATCTTTGGAGTGAAAACAAGAAGCAAAAGACTGTGGCATGTACAGGACCACCACTCCACCTCGATAGTCGCCATAGCAGCAGATCAACCAATGAGACCGGATGTCTTTGCCAGGTGCTTTGTACATTTCTGCAATACAAGACACACGTGTCATCTCTGGGAGGCCTGGTTGTAAATATGCATTGTATTTTTGATAACTGCATGTGCAATTAGATGAGTTTAGCTAATAGAAGTAATTTAGCTAATAACCAATGTCTTCTATTATGTTTATTGCTTCCTATGACAAATGCAAATTAGGCTGATAATTGGACAGCAAATATTGTAATATTAAATATATTATATTAGCTATCAGTCATTTCAGATCATTCAATGTAAGGTCACTTTTATAAGAGATAAGTTAATGTTTCTCACATTCAATTGTACATATTGCTATTTTATTCATCTTCACCAAATGAAGTTGCATGCAATTTAGCAGTTGGTGTGTACTCAAAGTTAGAGGACAAAAGTTGAGAATAAATGTTATGGCAGTACGGTGAAATAAAAGATCATTTTCCCCTTATGTTATGTTATGTTAGACTTTACACTTGTAAATAAAATAAGGTGTTTGTGACAGTATCATCAGCAGCATGTTGTGGTGTAGAGAGACAGTACTGAGGAGGGGAGGAAAGGAGTCAACCTGATGTTCTTATTATGACATAAGGAGAGTCAGACCATGTTATGTATTTTAGATAGAAAAGAGAAGAATTAGCTCTATAGCACACGTGTCAGATTTATGCTTGGCTATTACAGTTGCTAGAGCATATTGATTTATTAGTGGTGGCATCAGTATTACCCATGTCTGTGAAATGTGAATTGAAAACATTTAAGTTTCAGAATTCTGGTGAATTATATCTCATTAGACCTCTGTACTTGCTCAGTCAGTCCCTTCTACTTTTTTTGTAATATATTGTGAAAGCGTGTGGTTTTGGATAGCCAGGCATCCTCAGTTTTAAAGTTAGGAAAATTAACCTTGAACCATTAAGAAACAACAATATATTATCCATTTCAAAGGAATAATGCACATTGTTTCATATAAATGGTCTCTCAGAACTGAAGCAAAACATGTAGTTTAATTATGGACACACTCTTAACTCAATAACACACTTTTACAAATAGTCAACAGTATTGCATTGTCTTATTACTGCTTGCCAAATCACAATGGCTGATATGCATTTGGAAGAATCAATTGTAGGAATGGCTTTTACAAACAAAGGAAAGAACTCAATGCTGTTAATGCTACATTATGACTGCAATGAATTATTCAAAGGTTTTGAGGTTTAAGGTTACTTTCATTTAAATCATTATTTGCAAGAACTAAAAGTCTACACTAAAAAAACAACAACTAACTAACGCCAGGTTTCACTATAACAATTCTCAGAACACACACTATGGCTTGCCACTTTTTGTCAAATGAAACCACTCCACGCAGATCTATCAAGAAAACTCCAGTTCAATAAGTTCATCCCACTTGGCCTTTAAATGAGAACACTTTTAATTAGAAATATAACACAGAGAATACCACACAGCTTTATATAGAAAGTGATTAGCGCATTCAGGGAGTTGGTGATATAATGGCCTTTAATCTCAGTCTTTACTATCTGAAGTTATATGGCCTATGGATTACATAAAAATTGCAAAGATATATGAAGATTAATGTAACATTTTATCAGTGCGATCCTATCTGGAAACCTGTGCCAGTGTTTGTATCTTGTAATGCAAAGAGCCTGCCCTCCACAAAGCCCTCTCCATAGATTGTCATTATCAAAAGCTACAAGCCTCACAATATGAAGCGACGAGGCAACCAGGCACCTTATCTGGAGCTAATTAACCGTTTCAAAATTGTCTTTAGCAATTAATTACACACTTATAAATCCTAAATGGAGTGTTTGTGTGCGGATCCCGAGACACAGCAGGCAATTACGGCAATGGCAGAGAACAATGAGGCAGAAATAAATAGTGGCATATCTCATACTTATAGAGACAGGTGCATTTTAACAGTCTGAGCAATGCGGCAATGATATCAGTGTAGAATTTAGAGAATTAATATTTAGTAGTATAAAGTATTTTGGATTACTTTGAACACAGCCATATGTCGACACTTTCAACATGTATATTTTATAACCTGTGATTAAGGTAGTTTAATTTGGTTTGATTATGGAAAAACTGTCAAGGTCAACAGTTTCCTATATCAATATTAACATACAAACATTACGTCACTGCTTGACACAATGGAGATGTGTAAACTTCTCCATGGAGACAAGCAGGTGACGTCAATGGGCTGAGTTACAGGTCAGGTCTGAGGAGAGGTGACCAGCAGGTGTCATAAAATTTATTTGAAATAAGATTCTGTGGACTATTCCAGGCATCTCTTGTTTCATTTATATCTTAAAAAAATACTATAATGCAATTTATACTAGTCAAATTTAATTGAACTATATTGACTGCACTCTGGTATCACTTTCTCAAATACTTGATGACACAGAATGAACTGAAGGTGTGCGATTAGAGTCTCTTGTGAAAATAAAGTTGTATTTCCCCCAGTTTCTTTACTGAGAATGACCTGGCTCCAAACAGCAGTGGCTTACCCAGACACTGAACAGACCCTGTGGATGTTTTTCCCTTTCCCTTTTCTTTACCATTTTTTGCGCACTACAGAAACAGGTCACTTTTACTTACTGTTCTAGTTTTAAAATGGTGCATATTTCTGAGAGAGATGTGCGTCATTCATTCACGGGCAAAAGTCCAGAGCAGAGTATTGATGTGAGCAAACAGCAGCGTGTCCTTGCTCCTGATCGACCACTGTGAGCTGGGAACTATTTCTAAGAGCAACTGTATGGATTAGATTTCATGTTTCATTTAAAGATGGAAAAGGTCTAAAGATCAGAGATTTGATTTTTGATGGCCTGTCCGAGCCCAGAGCAACGCTGAGTTAATCCATTCAGTTTTCCTTAGGAGGTTTTATTGATCACATTTTGAGGCAATTTTAGGAGTCAAATGCAATTTCTACAGAAAGACACATAGCATGCCTGTTCTTTAAGACCAAAAGTACCCCAAGAATTTTTAAGGTGGAAAAAAAGACTTTTACTTGACATATTTATAGAAATTTTATTGTGCAGAAACCAAACCATGATATTTTAAGTTATGTACAACTTTAACTCAGGGGACATTATACAATGTTCAAAACCTACTAATTGCATAGTAAGAACTAAGCACCAAATACTGTAAACTGTAAGTAGTAGTTTATCAGATGTATTACTAACCATATAGAAGTCATTAAATGAGCAGGTAATGAGTATACATGAATTTCGTATGGAATTACAATAATTATTTCAGATTTTGGAAGCCATGAGCATTTTGTTGAGAAAGCACTGAAAAGCCATATGGTGTGAGCTTGTGCCAAACTAGAAACAGTGGACCAAGAAGTATCTAGCCAGTTTGTTTTCTAATGTACTGGTGAATATATTTAAAATGAAAAAGGCTACATGATCTCATAGTTAAATTTACTATGGCCAATAATGCTTTCATTTTTTTAAATAAAATGGTAAAATATTGCTATGTATGCTATTTAGATTGGTTGTTTTGCTAAAGGGAGGATTTAATTGTATATACACATTTGTATATAAACTACAGTCGCTACAAATACAGCCATTTTATCAGGGCACAATTCAGCACGGGTTAGTTTTTAAAGATATACACTGTGTAACTTTTCTAATGGAGACCCAGCAACCTACTTATCTCCATGGTAATATTATTGCATATTGCATTGCTTTGGATTGTTCCACAGTATAGCTTTAAACTTATATTCAATTACAGTTGTTTTCAATGCTGAAATACTGTGAGCAGGGTCCCCTTTGACCTATCTTTAGAAAAATGTTACATTGTGCACCTCTTAATTCCATTGTTATTGTTTCTGCTCACTTTAAAATGTACCAAAAATACCCTCTAGTAAAGTTACGTATTACAACAGATATTATGTTTTTGAGTGTAAATCAGATCTAATTTCCATAACACAATGCAGCCTTGGGCATTTTATTGTAAACAATGAGTCAATGCACTAACAGTAGTAATATTGCCATGTGGAAAAACAACAGAAGAAGTAAAGCCAAGGTTTATGAACAGAAAAAGTGCGGTCTGCTGCTCATGATTATAGAAAACCAATTGAACGACCTTCTATGTGTTTGCCCCTCCTGTAATAGATAGGCTCGCACAAAATCAGCACATCCACACATCAATGTACGATCAGACAAATGTGGTTTATAGAAGAAAAATGTGTCTGTTATAGAACCTGCTGCTGTGTGTGAATAGTTTTACCTTGACCTCCTTTGACCTTGACTTTGAATATGCCTTATTTGAGGATAATTATTTGATCTGATCTGATCTATGCACTCCACTCCATGTTGCTTGCTATCTTGGGTATAATGATGCATTTTAAGCTTCATGGCAATAACCTGATAAGCTGTTCAATTACTCTGCAGTGGGTGTCATGACAACAACAGCATCCCCTGACTCCGCCTCCCCCTGTTCATCACTATTATTCCCAACTCTGGTGTGGGCAAGGCAAGCAAGGGCCACTGCAGCATGTCTGGACAAAAATGTATTCTTGCCAGCAGATAAAAATAAAAGGTAGATTCCATGGATGCAAGCAGGTGACAGCACACACCAAGTTACAAGTGAGATCTGTGGAAGGGTGACGTCGTTCACAGTAAGAATGCATTATTTTCAAGGTATTTCTTAAGCAACAAAACACTTGAAATTGTAATTGAATGTGCATGATAGATGAGATTAATGTCATACTTTGCAAAAACAGCATGAAGACAGGCAGTTAAGAGTGCCTCCATCAGAAGAGAATTGAGATTTGACAGTCAGCAGAAGAGGAGTACGTGTGTAATAAAGAAAAGTGTTGTAGAATGTATCTTTCCTGTGAATGTTGCTCAGTATAATGTTTGAGTCAATTATTAAGCCAATTATTGAGAGGCTAAATATAACTCAATGATGTGTTGCATAGGAGCTGATGTTGTAACAAGCGTTTGATGTGGTGGAAAGTTGGAGATGCATTTTATTAAAACAATTAGCTGAAAAATATTGAGTTTAGTTTTCAGAAACAGTTTGGAAATAATAAAAAATAAGTTAAGTTTGTCTGTATTGTATTTAAATGAGTGTTGGAACTCTACAAAGAGTCTTATTGAAATACAAGCATTACAACAATGCACAGACCTGATAATAGTCTCTTACTAATCTCATGGTACATAAGGTTACAATTTTACAAATGAACACAGAATAGTACAATTGATAGAAAATACAGACGTTACTGTAATTTGGCGGTGTTTCTATAAATATATTATGCTGTTTACATTAGATTTTACTGGTAAAATTATGGACAATAGCCATGATGGGTAATTGTATTTTTACATAAAGCAAGCAAACTGTGACATAAAGCTCACACTTCAAAACAAAGCAAATAAACTGAGCGGATGTGCGGATGTCAAATAAGGAAAAATATACAAAAGATTTCTATGAATGTTTTCTAAAATTGTCCAAGAAAAACTGTCTTTTCATAATATTATGTCCATGTTTGTGCTAAGAAACGCCAGCTAACTTGAAAATAGATACTGAATCAAACTCCATCGGGACCAGATTGAGTAATTCATGTGTACTCACTCTCCAGTCCTTTACACTGAAACATCTCCAACTGGTCTGGCAGCTTCATCAAACAAACTGTCTGACAAGAGCCTTATGAAAATCAGAAATATTTACTCTAGTTAAATCACAAGAGATGTTTGATGATGATTTCAAAAGTTAGGATCAAAAGGTAGATTCTCACATCTTGAAAAGTCTTCAATAAAAAATCAAAAGTGTCTATAATCCAGAGTGATACCACGCACACTGTGAGGAGCATCTTTCATCTTGCAGTTTGTGAATTGGAGAACAGCAGGGAATGTCTGTTTACATTGAGAGTGTGTGAGCTGGCACTTGCTCAAAGAAAAATAAGTTTTGTTAAAAGAAGGGTAACTCTCCATGGCCTTTGTGCAGCAGGAGGAGAATACAGAAGAGCCTCAGATTCACCATGTCCAAGTGCAGGTTTAGGAGCGTTTTGTGTCTGAGACCTCAAAGCTGCATCGTCAGGGTGGGGTTTGGACTCGGGCAGTCTAAGAAGAGAAGAGAGTGGGTATGTTCATAACTATGACTCTATATATTACAAATGAGCAATAAACAAAGATAATTCTTTATAATAACTACACTTGTAATGGCCTTAATAAAACAAGAACAAAATAAATGAATACCATGACTCTAAATCATAAACCCTTTAATTAAGACGTTACTAACCCTGGATCATTATTAAAAAAAGTATTTGTTCATTGTGAATTAGTCTTTTGCATGGTTTATTAAGGCTAATTCAAGTGTAATAATTATAGTTGCAATAAAACTGATGCAGTGTAATTACACTCTGAATTCAGTGTCACTGAATCTTTAATATTACATAATAAAACTGACAAGATAAAACCTGTTTAATGAAATGTATGCTTACAGAAACAGGTTAATTTGCACAACTGCATAAATATGGTAAGGTGTAAAACAAAGACCTTGTTTAGCTTAACTGCCTTTTCTGTTACTATGTCAAGAAATTACATAAACTAGCTTTTGTGCACACCATACCATGAATTCATGTTTTATGAGCAGGGTGAAGGAGGAAGCACAGTGAATGATTCATGTTTGGTTTTCTTGTAACATCTCAAAGTAAACAGTGGTTGTCACATAAAACACTGCTATTACTCACCAGTATCCATGTCCTCCACCTCCATGTTGCTGCATGTGAGACAGACAAGACCATGTGACTCCGGACGAAAGGTTAAGTGCTGCCAAGTCAACACACAGGTAAAAAATATCTCTGGATTCGAAGATGACCATGTGCTCTCAAATCTTTTACTCAGATCCTAAGCTTGAACACTCTTGGTTCCCACATGCAGTTTTGTTTCTGACTATCACATAGTTTTATCTTTAATTTCTATGACACAGAAATCCAAATAACTCAACCACCATGAAGCACTGTACATTTCAAGGAGTGCTACTGACCCCTACAGGCATTGTAATGTTAATGAAAGTTAATTAAAGTTAATTTACTGCATATTATACATTTTAAGACAAAAGGCAGCTAACACATTCACTGTGCAATTTGTGGATTAAATAGTAGGCTATGCTGTGTCAACACTATGTCATAATTTAATGTCATCATTTTACAGTTTACAGGATTGTTAAAGAGCATGCACAATGTCTCAGACAAGCCAGGTCCTGTATATATTGTCAGTAATTCTATTGGATTAAATGGCAATGTATATTGCCAATGGCAATATAAAGAGATGATTGCCTCTCTGGTGACTGTGATATACATAGTATTGTCTTTCTTGTAGGAAAAACAAGTATATATAACAAGATGCAATATGTTCCAATCAATTCTCTTGGTGCAGCACAATAACACCTCTGTGTACACAGTAGCCCTGTACAAAGAAACGTTACCTTGAGAATGCATCCTCCAGACCATCGTCCACATCCTGTCAACAAAACAATATCCATCAATGCCAGCTCGTTTCTCCTTGTTTCCCTTGATACACAATCATTGTAATGTTCAATAATGGCACAAGAGTGTTTTCTGGGTATGGATAGTTGCTATTTTAGTATGTACACAGTGCATAAATAACTGTGTACAATTCATGACAGGGTAAGAAGAGAAGTCCCCTTCTGAGCTTACAGTTATACTGCCATCTAGTGTTCTGTTTATTTATGTCATATGGGATTGGTCAACTTGCCACTGCATAAAAATGAGCAGTAACACAAAATGCCTAGTTCATACACACAAGAAAATACAAAATATGCTCATAATTGTAAATGGTAGTTGCTTGTATTATTTACCCATGAGTCATGTTTGATGGGTCTTCTGCGTGTGGGGTTACTGCGGGGTAAAGGAGAGTGGAGTAAAGCAGCTAGGAAGGGTCTCCGCACCTTCTCTTCTGTCTGCACTGGCTTATGTTGTACCTCTGTTTTTGGGAAAGACAGAAAAGAAATGGACAAGATATTTAGTTTAAATATATTTTAAATAATAGAGACTTCTTTCAGTGTCTGAAGACCCTTTTCTTTACTGAGGCAGTATAGTCTGAAAAGCGAGTCCATCTTTCATTTTTGGTTCACAGACTGCTTCTTCAGGAACTGGGCACTTTTAATTGAAAGAAGTTTGCCATTAGATAGGAGCACACTGAGCCTGATTAGATCTCACTTTGCCCAAAGTGACCTTATTGGGACAAAACATTTTGACCTATAAATGTCAGCGCCGTTAGAAGCAGCTCTAGCTCTCCTTCCTCCAGGACAAATGAGCCCATTGGTGTGAAGTTATTTGTCCTCTAACAGAGCCATGATTGATATAAAGGGGAGTTTACAGCCTTAATCATGACACTGTAAATTGAAGCCCGCACATCGTTAAATAAAAATGGTGCCTTGTTGTCTCATTGACATTCAGAGACACTTACCTTCTGCAGCACTCGTCTCAGTCTGACTGTTACTGCCTGAACATGAACATGGGCATGACCCCGACTTCTTGTTTTTGTCTGTAAAAAAAAAAAAAAAACAAGCGTAAACAAGTCACATCTGAGCAACAGTTTTCAGTTTAATTATTAGAGTACAGATGAGTAAAAATAAAATTTTAATGTTGTTATAGGTCTAAAAAATTATATTTTGAAAATTCCACACTGTGACAGAAGTGCAAATAACTATGCAGGTACTGATGGCAAATAGTGTTGCATTTCATAAATCATTAGTTTTACACTGTACATGGCCTGGCTCAGGAAAAGAATTTCAGTGCAAAATCAGCAGATGACCCTCTAGAAAAGAACAGGAGTGTTCAAATAATGGCTGACCTAGTATTTTAAAGCATTTCTGAACTGAAGTCAGCCTTCTCAGAAGATTACCTGTCAGCTCACAGTACTTTAGCCATTAATTATACTATTTAAGGCATTAAATTATAGGTAAGTAGCAGGAAAGTTCTTGAGCTTACCTTCCTGAGCGATTTCCCAGAGATCAAGGGCTACTTTGAAAGCCTGGGCCACTGTTAATGTCACTGCTTGGGCCTATAAGGAAAAATTTAAGAATATTAGCATATTAATCACATTATTTAACAATTAAATATATATATATCCTTGCTGCACTAAATAACATTTTTTTTTCCAAATTATCAGCACTTTCAAGGCTGCTGTATTGATCTTTCCCAGCTTCAACCACTAGATGGAGCCCAACACCACTTAAAATATTACTAGTGCAATATGGAGCTACATCATAAATAATAAGATATATTACAATGTCCTGTAAAATAAACATAGGTACATTTACTCACAATCTTTCTCTTTTGGCAGAGGAAGGCGTGGCACTCCAGGGTTTCATTGAATTGACTCTGGGACACATAAGCAAACACTTTGTCCTGAGTTTTATCGGCTGTGCAGTAGGAGATTCTGCAAAGACAACACACAAAGACAGTTATATTGAGGACAGATACTGAGGAAAAACTACTACTATTTTTTGGTTGTATCCCAGCAATGCTCAGCGATGATATTCAGATGATATTATGTCAATCCAACAGAAAAGTACTATAATATGTCTTAAAATTCTTAAAATGTGCCTAAAACGCTTCAGTCCGTAGAATAAGTGTTCAACATTATTTTTGTGTTATTCCTGAGTTATTTTTGTGTTATTCATGAATCACTGTAACATGATTAATGATTATTATTTGACTGAAGAAAATAAGCTATCAAACTAACAAAAGTGCAGAAATATCACATTTTCCATCTTAATTTTTTTTAATGAAATTCTGCATCTCTTGTCATTTATTTTATTTATTTATTTAAAACAAGGACAGTACACATTAATCGCAGAGAAAAAAAGATGCCCTGTACCAGATTTAGCTACAAGCTACTTTCCATCTGCAGTCCTTGAGCAGGTACAAAATAAATCAAAGAAACTTTTTACATTAGACCAACTCCAACAACAACATTTCATCAGTAACAGTTATCCTTAAAATAACCACTAATAACCATAAATGCAAGATTTCAAATGCATTATTATCTTCTAAAAATATAAAATTTAATTGACATCAGTATCCTCTAAAATGTACATTTACCAAATTCATATCTCAGTAATCTGCCCACCTTAATAAGTGCTACAAACAAGCAAATATGGACTATAAAACAGATGAAATATACAAATCTACAGAGTGAAGAAGTTCTTGGTTTTTTCTTTGTCATCTGCATAGAGGAGGTAATCAGTGGAGGATGGAGGAAGAGACTTCATGAATATTTTGCCGATGAAGACTCACAGCTGAAGCTACTGGAGTTAAGTGAGATTAATGAGGAGCAGCAACATGCAAAGTATGAGTCAAGCTTTCATCAAAGTTTGGTGGAGAGGGTTTACTTTAAGACTCTTAATCTGTAGCATCGTCACTTTTAATGTTTGGACTATTCCGGATTATTCTGTATTGAATTATATTTTTTACTTAGTTTAGTGGAAATATGAGACAATGATATAATGTCAGTATGTTTCATTTTCACTTTCTATTTAAAAGTGAATAATGTAACTTTTCTGGTGGAGGAACCTGCTTGTCTCCATGAAGATGTTCCACAGAATGGCATTAAAGCTATCTAAAATAATGGAGACAACCCCAAGTAACACATGGACAATGTACTTTGAACTTTGATGTAACACTTTAATATTATGGCCACTTAATCTTAGTAGCTGGTTTATTTCACAGTGTCATATATTGTCTGTAATAACTGTCTGTTGTTTGTTCATGTGGTTGCTTTTAATGTCTCATCATGCATTTTTTAAGTACAAATGGCAAATAAACTTACCGGTAATAAGATTATCATACCCAGTTAGCTTTGTGTATGTAGTTTCATTTGGTTTTGTTGCAGTTACAGGTCATTTTTATGTAATCTAAACAACAATCTAAGATTCAGGTATACCTATTTTAACTATACATTAATATCATAAACAAACATTCATGCAGATATTAGTAATTATGTCACATTTTTTGACCTAACAAGAGCAAACCTACAAAGGACAAACCTATAGCTACTGGGATTTGATAGTTTTTTTTCTTGCAGCATAAGCTAAATTCCCTCTGAACACTGCTGATGTCTCGTCTGTAAATGATGATGTGAGCATTTTGTTTAACCAGCTAAAATTCACACTGCTTCTTTCATGTGTCACCTCAAAAACTGCAAAATGCTGTTACAGGAAATTATATTTCCACCAACACTGGACACACGCTACAAGTCTTTTGATTAAATTGTTTATTAACAAGGTAACTTGTTAATAAGAATACAGTACAACGAAGAAAGAAAAACATTTGGCATACTTAAATCAACAAATAACAAACTACAGACTAACTTGAATACTATCAAATCCAAACAGAAAAATATACTTTATTTTATTCAGCTCTTTTTGCAGGATTTCTGTTGATATTACATATCTTACTGAGGCACTGATACGACACTGTTATCGAATATTGGCTCCAATAATGAAAATTTAGTTGGATCGGATATCAGCTTCCAAAATATAGGTTCAAACTTGTATTTTTACAAAGCCAATCTATAGTTACAAAACATTTGTCTGTCATGTTGTTTATAATATTGGAATATATTTAAAGCAAGTAAGGCAAATTTCTTTCCATTTAATCTCAGCTCAGATCATAGTGAATTTTACACGCGTTTTCTCTATATGAGACACACAGCTCTCACTGTTACCTCTCCGACACAGTGTAATGGTGTTATTAAGTCTGCTTGTTTTGAACTGTACATTGTTTATTGCTGCGTTCCACTGATGATTGACCCACATTGCAAAGCCCCAGACGCCTCTCTGCCTCGTATGAGCATCTCCCCAGTTTGGACTTATATTTGGACTTTAATTGCACCAAAAGAAGCAGAGGGAAAGTTAAAAGACATGACCTATTTATGTGTGGAAAACAGGATCGAGACACTGGAGAAATAATGGTCTCATCAGCATATTTCACAAGAATTGTAAAGATTTATAGGTCACAGTAAAAATTTCAGCATTCATATGTTGTATATATATTCCATATTTATTTTCAGATTTTTATTTATTGATAAGAACAAAAAAATCTGATTAGTCAATATTGCCCAGTCCTTTCAAAAAGTAACAATAACAACAATAATTTCTTATATGTGCATGTGACTTAAAAGACAAAATCAGTAGATATATAAATTAGCTTTTTTTTAAGTAAAGCAAGATTAAAAATTGAGAATGGTCATCTAGACATTGAAAATATATTAGTCTAAACATAGAAGCGGGCACAGAGCGATACTAGAACATATATAAGCTTTTAGAAACATTTGCACCAATTTTCCTCACAGTTTGAGAACCAAACCATTCCCACAAACACATTGGATTAATAAAGGTATTAAAGAGAATATAATAGTGTAGTCTTGTGTTGTATTGTCTTGTGTTGTGTTGATGCAAATTGCCTTCCTTTCTCTGCAAGTCTTTTTCCAAACAATTCTTTTTGGAAACTAGCAAAAGCAGCAGGCAAAGAGACAAAGGAGAATACACACACAACAATAAGAATGTAAAGGTCATGGATTTATCAGAGTTGGGACAAAGACAATCTATGCATTCATTCTGCACAAAACACTGACAAATCAATCTAACTCGCAAGCGGCGTTCTAAAAATGTTTTACTGTTGTACTTTTTCTTTTTTTTTTCCACCAATGATGCACAAATCTGATACAAATAACTGACAGACTCTGAACAACACAAGGCGAGCTGTCAGTGAGCATCACATCTCCAAAGGGGGGCATCACTTTGATCTACTGGCTGCCATGAAAATATTTTAATATACATTCACTTCAAAAGCCGGTGTGGTTTCTACACCAATAAAACGCAATGTTGTTTTGCCTCACCCAATTCATCAAAAAGTCATCAAAAGAAATACACTTATCTATGTGGCATGAATGTTATCTGATTTAGTTGATGGAGAAATATTATGGAGCGATTCGTCTCCCAAACCTGTCATGGTGAACAGGCGAGGTGTCAGTCAAACCAATGTGACCTGTTTGATTTGTGCGATTCAGATGCAGCTCAGGCCCTCACAGCTCCTGACAGAATGTGAATGACAACAACCAAGCCAGATGGATCCACCGCATGCTCTGATCATTGGCAGACATTAGGATCAACCTGCGTGTTTTGGGAATAATTAGACCTGATTATTTATGTGCAAAGAAGAACGATGAGTGCATATTAAAAAGCTAAATATGCTCTGCTAAAACATAACCTTTAAAAATATCACAATGTCTCAGTGGCTCGGAAGTTGAGTCATCAGCCGTTGCTATGTTAATTTCTCTCACAAGGAGTAAGAATTTTGCGTTTGCTACAATATATAATCTTAATAATTGCATCCTGGTAATTCCTTTTATCTTTACATTTCTTTACATTTCTTTACATCTTTACATTTCATATTTCACTCATCTCAGAAAGTGGATGGATTGTGCCAACATCACTTAAGGTTAAGATTTAGATACATTTCATTGTGCTTGTTGGGAAATTTGACCTTTGCATTTGACCCATATTTCAATGCCATTGGGGTAACACGTCAGGACCAGGGGGCATCGCAAACCAAACAGGTCACATGGATTTGACTCACACCCCACATGCTCACCATGACATGTCTGGAGGACGAATTGATCCTTAATAATTTTCCATCATATTATATTCCCCATGTTCCATAGATGCAGTTTATTTACTTTTGATGACTTGTGTATCAGGTAAGGGGACCCATCACCAGAGCTTGATCTGGAGTTAAATTAGGATTAAGATGATCTGCATTTGACCCATCCTTCAATTCCACCAGGGCAGCCTGTCAGGAGTAGCAATGACTACCTCAGATTTTAACTATGGTGCATGTTTTTTTTGGGTTGATGGGGGAAACTCATCCAGCCTGGGGGGAAACTCAATCCTTCAATAACAAAAAGACCCATAATGTTATATTATTGTCCTGCTACTGCACACTTAACTGAAACTGGGGCCATGTTATAATATAATCTAAAGTGATGCTGCAAATTTAATGCGCTGTCAACAGCTATGGGGTGTGTGGAGTCTGCTGGATAAGATCAGGGACGACGTAAATGCCACTGATCCTGGATGATACTGCATTTCCCATTGTCTTTGAGAGCATGTGTGTGTGCCTGCACGCGTGAGTGCGTGTGTGTGTGTGTTGTGGGGAGGGGCTGGGTCATGCATGTGAGGGTCCCAATTCTAATGCACAAAGTCTCTTTTTCTTGTTCTTTCTCCCCCACTAAGCTCTGCCCGAGGGAAACCGCCTGTCTCCTAGTATGAATACACAATTAGCCTGACAAACACACACATTTGCATACACACACACACATACACAAACCATATGTAGAAATATTGTGTACCTCCTGAGTTTATCCATACAACTTTCTTTCACCCTTCAATTGGTTTCGTGGGCAATAACTGGATTATGCACAAAAAATAAGACAAGAAGCGTGGTCTAAAAAGGGGGAAGGGATCATGAAGAGGATAAATCAACCCCCAGTGGAAATGCTTTTTAGTTGAATGTTATAAACAACTTTAAAAGGCCGAACAGTGAGAAAATAAAGATAAAATGAAAGCGGTTTATGGAAATTAATCCTCAAAGGTAAGTGTTGTGTGTATGAGAATTATTTATAAACAAGGAGAGTATAAAATTAAATATAACAGAACCAAATGATCAGAGTTTTACATATAGAGTTTAGGCATATACAGTTATCTAATTCACAAAATATCCACAAGGGTTTCAGCTTCTTGTTATAGGTGACATTTTGAAGATGTGAAATGATGATGAAATATTAAGTTTAAAATTGTCAACTGCAACTTCTGAAACCTATAGATAAGCTTATAAAGTTGTTTTGATCATCAGTATTTTTTTAAACACTGTAAATCTGATGGTAGTTAAATTCTACCAGACCTAATAGAAAACAAGACTTCAAAAGCACCACTGATTCCCTCACCCTGTAGTGTTAGCACTGATAAGGTGCAGAGTGGACCTCCTGCCCCAGTCTGTGTATAGTGCGATCAGGGGGCAGCTGTATGATGTTTACACTGTGAGCCTCCATGACACAAAGCCAGCTCTATGTTACAGGAGGAGGCTATCTCCACAGCAGAAAAAGCAACCCCATACAACATGCTACAGTGCCTTTGGTTCAACTGAATCAATGGGGATGCTGCTGGGAAAGGTTATCAAAGCGGAGAGGCCAGCTTCTCAGCATCCCTCACTGCCTTTGTGTTATTGGTTTGAAACAACATTGATCCAACACAAAAGACTGAGCAAAAATAACCAATATTAGACCTAAGAATAAACAAACTGGACTGATCAGGTTTGAAGATGACTGTATAGATCTTTGTACACACAAGACCATTATACGGTAGTTTTTTTTCCTCATCAGCAATGTAGTCTAAGATTAGTTTTCCCAGTCATATCTTAATCTACAGAGTTAATTTATTAATGAGGTTTAGAGAGCACAGCAATTATAATGTGTTACTCTAATGCATAGGGCATATATTGTTTAATAAATGATAGATAGAAAATATTTTTGGCCAGTATTTATCATGAGTACTTTTTCTTTTTAATAATTTATCGGAAAGGTGTAGTTATTTTTCGGTACTACAATTATATTTCAGCTGTAGAAGATACTACTAACTACTCAAGTGTTTCATTCTGTTATTGCTGGTCATACTTTTTTTTAACAATATTGTACATAAATAATATTTTTAGGATAAAAATGAGATAATCCTGATTTTGTTTATTGTGTCAGTGGTAGAAATTCATTTCAAAATACTATTGTCTATATTTTCTTCAGCAATATATCACATTTCAAGATTTTGTTATTGTGACAAGTCTGCTCTTAGGTAGGTAGAAAACCAGTCTAAAATGCCTTCTTATCTAAAATAATATCTTAAAATTACCTGTAAATCGAGACGTTTTCTATGAGGTCAGCGGTCTCTGTGTCTGTGATGATGATGCCTTTGGGTGAAACTGTCAGAGTCACTTTTCTGAACTTCTTGGCGCTGGCTCGGGCCTGTGGAGATCAAATGCAAATTCACATAAATCTTTATACCAGCTTTAGTAATAATGCAGAAAATCATGACTACTGAACCCTGGTGATGTCTTCTTCACTGTGACTGTAGCTATTGAGCAAAAAGGACCAACCAGTGAGTGAGTCCCAGAAAAGCGTTGGATTTATGAAAAGTGACAGTGGGCAGAATGAGGTTGGATCTGGCAGGCAGCGTGTCCCCCTGCTGCTCTGCTCCATCTGCGCTAACACATTAATACCATAGTGGTGCTGAGCTAGCGGTCTGTGGGAGCGCCTGTTGACCTCTTTAGTATGCAATTAGCTGATAATGAAAGAAAGATTTCAGCAATTCAACAGTATTTGGACTCCTGTGGCTTTAAGTCTCTCCTGTCTGTGTTACCAGGTACTGGTTTGCTATTTTCAGCTCAAAAGTACACTGGGCCACAGGACAAAAAATAATCACTTTCATTTTCATTTTCTTTCCGATATAGATTGACAACAATTACCATCCAATTTTATTTTGTGAAGTTAATATTAATCATTGCATTTATATAGCAGCTTTCAAGATACCCAAAGCGCTTTACAGTTTATTATTCATTCTCTCAACACTCAGTGGTGGTAAGCTACTACTGTAACAACAGCTTCTCTGGGGCAGACTGACGGAAGCGAGGCGGCCAATCTGTGCCATCAGCTCCTCCGTCCACCACCATCACTCACGCATACACCACGTTTTGCCACTGGTGCCCCACTGTGGCACCTGGAATTCCCAGCGGTCTCCAATCCCATAATATGGCGTTCAATATTAATTTCCTGAAGATAAACCATACAGACTTTTAATCCTTGCCATTTATCACAATGTCTGAAACACACTTATTGACAAATTAAAGTTACCCAAGTATATCACTGACATTTTGCAATGACTGAAACCTGATGTGCAATTAAAATTAGATGAATTGTGCCCCTTATTTTTTGATTGCTGTGCACTGTAAGTGAGGTATAGGCTTGTCTTAAAAAAACTTAAAACATGTGGCCACTGGTTTCTGGAATATATAACATTGACAAAGACCATATTGTATTGAAAATGAGTTACTTTGTTAAAAAGTAGGGCAAAGTAAATAGTATTTTAGTACATTTATGCTATCATCACATAAAATGGTAGTAGAATTGCTGACAATGAACTGAAACAGAAGAGAAAACTAGGACTTTTCAAGGACGGCACGCTGCCTTAATGCCCTGGAGAAGAACTGTGAAATGTGCCACACTTAAAACAAGTGACATAGTATTCGACAATGTGAAGACAGACTGTGGCAGCTCATTTATGTGATAGTGATAATGACGTTCTCTGCTGTATTTGTGTCAGGCCACAAGGCAAAGAAAAAAAAACAGTCTGTCAGATTCAGATACAGCACATGGAGCTGCTGTCTAACACTTGGTCCTTGGGTCTTGTCTTAACCCACCCATAAGGGAAAGTCTCTGTAATATTATTCACTTCATTTTCAAGGATATTGGCATGCTTTTTGTAATAATTGGAATTCAGCTTTCGTAGTTGTTTGAGCAACAATGTTGATGGGGCTTTGTACTTTTTGCATGCATACATAATAATAACGTCTCTTGATGTTAACATTTTTTTTAAGATGTGTGTAACTTTTATGTTGGAAGGTTTGCCACCTTTTTGTCCCCATAGAAATGTTAGTGTTTTGCCTTGCTTTGACTCAATTAAAGGTCCCATATTACACAAAAAGGTTTTCTCTTTAAAAGAGTTTTCGTTTGTTTGGGTTTTTTGCTAAAAAAAAAAACAACAACATAGATTTTGAAAATACACTTATAGTGGGAGTGGTAACATCTCATTCAGAAAAGTTATAGTTATTGCATCTTTTACATTTGCTAGTTTCCAATAAATCCACCAGATAGAGCAGATTGCAGTTTGAGGGTGGCATTTCACTCAAATCCATAAGGGACAGTCTATAAAAAGAGTCAGTGTAATTGATGTCTTCAGCTTGTCACTCTTTGCATTCAAAATTTTAACCACATGCTTGAATATGCTTCCAAAGTGCCTATGACTACCTACTATCCAGTTTATCGTTATATGAATAATGCAACAAACATTTTAAGAAACTCCATATAGTGCATATTATTGACTCACTGTGGCCACGATCCTGTGTATGGCTGCAGAGGCCATGTCCTCTCCTTTGGGCTGTCCCACAAGAGTCATGCCCAGGTACTTCACATTGAACACCATGCCCTCCAGGAGAGTCTCTTTAGTGTCAGTCCAGTTCTCCGGCAGCTCTGCTCACATAAAAACAGAAAAAAAGACATGTTTATTTCTATTGTGCTAAACCACTCTGACTTGCTTGTTTATATTCATATTTTGTTGTTGAAAAGATGAACATAAAATTTTATAAAAAACGTGAGATTGATCAATAGAAGAAATTTATTTTTTTTATTTTTTCCATATTGCTCAGTCCGGGGTTACACGCAGTCAGTTATTGACTGGCTTGTGAAGACCATCAAGCATTTCATGCCCAGGAAACTGGGAATGAAAGATTGCATCTTGCTATTACACTGTATGGCAAACAGCCTGCACTCACTAATAGGAGAAAAAGAAACAATAAGACACCATAAAAACACAGGAACTATATCGAGCATGTTGTTTACAAAGCTCTGTGCAGTACAAAGTTGGCATAAAAACATAACAAGTAAGCAGACAGGGCTATGAATAGAGGCACTTGAGACAAAAACAAAAGCTTGGAGAATGACGATAGAGCTTTGATAAAGATCTACTGTATAAAACACAGCCAGCACACAACAAATGTTGAAGTGATTGCTGAAAATGTGTCACTTTAACTCAAATCATAACCTTCTACTATATTATAATAAAGACAGAAGATTATAGCTCAAACATTCAGTTCACATTAACATCACAAACTACAGTGTGCCCATGATATCAGGATTAGCCTAAAATAAAAGAGTCAAGTGTTTTGTTCTTAGTGGGGTTTATCCTGTTGAGATTTCCATTAGCACGTAGCCTTCCTCTACTGTATTCAAAGCTTAATATCCATTCAAAACCTGAGTACCTCTCGTCAAGTACTCACTGATATTGTTGGCTTGATTTGAGAGCTTTAGACTGACAAGCAACACTCACAACATTCACTCTTTAAGAAAGTGAATACACAGGATAAAAGCCACAAACTGTCAGAGTCCAGTCCTCCGCTGGTTTCCTCTATGGACCGGACCATCTGTTATTGGCAGGTCCTATGCAGCTGTACAGAGCCTGACAGCGTTTACACAGCTTCCAACAGTCCTGAATTATTAAACCATCTTCAATCACACGACGGGGGCCTGCTTCAAACCCAGAGACGCCGTTTGATGTTATTAAATGTGGCTGTGGATGCGTGCTGTGGAGTCATAGGCATACGACGGGGCCTTGTGTTTTGTTTGTGCAAAGAAACTGTCCTAATTGTTCTTCTGAGATTCAATTAGAAACTTCATTTATTCCTGTGGAGCACACTTGTTAATTAGAAAGGTCAGAGATGAGGTTTGGTTGAGCAAGTATTAAGATATGTAAATGTGAAGAGGAACAAATCATGGTCAAATACGCAATGTCCATGTTTTGACTTGACTAGATTAATAATTAAGAAGAACCATGTTTTTGCTACAGGGTTTCCAATGGATTTGTCCCTAAAAAGAAATCACTAAATGTTTAATGAGTCCGGCTGGGGTCCAAAGATAGAAAGGACAGTTGCGTAAGAAATGTGGCTGCATGTCTGATTTGCATACTGAAGCATACTAAGAAGAACATAAGCTGCGGAGAGGAACAATGCATTATACTATAAAGAAATTACCGGCTAAGTTACATTACTTTTAATACTATTGTCTATTAGGATTAGTATAATATATTTAACTGATGGATGTGAGCTAAGCCATGTTAAAATGTTGAAAACTACCACAAATGAGATTACAAGGTGGCACAGATGTAGACAGAGTAATAATAAAGGGCTACTCAAATATGTGTGAATGAAACAAAACACAAATCCAGGTTTTTTATGCTTAATTTTAACATCAGACATTTTAGCATCAGAGAGATCAGAAAATACTGTAATATGGGCCATTTAAGGATTTTCCATTTGATTCTTTCATATGAATATTACAGTGTACAATAATAGCGAGCTGCACTCCATCTGAGTGCATGACATCACCGCCACATTCCTGTCTGCCATGTTGAAAATGATTAGTTTAAAATGGATCTTGTTGAGGAAAACAACCTTTTCCTTTCGTGCTCGTTAGTTTCTGCTTAGATAAAAAATAGACTTGAAACTAAATAAAGTCCAGATAATTTACTTATTCCAATATTAGAAAGCCATACTGTCTGTGCCGACATTCCCATGCAGAGGCTCAATGTTTACGCCTATACAGCGACTTTTATACGTAAACTAAAGTGGGAGGCTACCATGGTTTAGTAGAGGTGTAACGATATCCAAGTTTCACGATACAATATTGTCAAGGTATGAACCTCACAGTATGATATTTATTGCAATATTGTGGGAAAGCTCACGAAATGGTGGGGAGGCTCACTATTAGGGATGTAACAATATCCAAATCTCTTGGTACGATAAGTTCACAATATACATCTAACGGTACAATATTTATTGCAATATTTTGTGGAGGCTAACAAAACTGTTAATATGCTAATTTTTCCTCTTAAAATGCCTTGACAAGACTTAACCCAAAGAACTAAGATTTAAAGGTGCTTAGAAATGTTATTTCTTCTTGTAGTCTCCACTGAAATGGAGCAAAGGATCAAGGATATGTAGTTCTCTCTGTCTTTTTTAGCCATTGCTGCACCATAACTCTTAATTTAAGCAAAGAGACTTGTAATTTGATATATTGTGATGGTCCACGATATTATTGTGAAAACTTTGACGATACGATATCACAATATTTTGATTATTGTTACATCCCAATGGTTTAGACTTAGCACTTCTTCAGCGGTGCACAGGCCAGCCAGGCCTCTTGACACGTTGCACAGTCAAATCAGACTCCATTCGGGGTGTTAACTGGCTAACAAGTCATGACATCATCCCTATCAGTAGTTTTTGTCCTATTTAGTTAGTTTGTCATTAGATAAACTGGAATATCATGCATTTGTCTTGACATATATCTATGAGTCTCACAGCTGTGAGCCATTATCTTCAAATGACCTTGGTACAACAATGGACTATAGAAGTGATTATACAAAATAGCCAAGCCTAGTTATTTACCCTAACAATCTGCATAGTAAATAATGGTAAAGTAAATAATAAAATGAAATGAATCTGAAAATAGCCAGCTGCAGTCAAACCCATGCTTGTAAAGCCCACCTGTGTACAGTGTGGGGAGGCAGTGCAGCAGGTGATTTCATTTAAAAAGCGCTGACAGGATTAGGCAGAGGGGCCCCACTGCTCTGATGATGTGACGATATAGAGACGCCAGGCAACGATTCACACCTCCACTCCATCTGAAAGCACCCTGATTACATTATGCTTTCACACACGCACATAAATACCCTACTAAAATGAATCACAAGATAAATGATAAAAGAATCTATAGACTAACATAGCTTCACAAACATCTGGTAGTCATAAGAGCTGACTGTAGTGCAGAGAAAAGGCTGCATTTGCTCTCTCTGGTCCCCCCTCAGTGACATGCAGTGATCACCAGCTGTCTCCCTCTGCTACATGGGCCTTCTGTTCATTTGCACAGGCATTGGACCAGGCGAAATGTGTTCTGCCACAAACAATAGAATGGAGTGTTATTGTGAGCTTTGCTAAACTATTTTGAAAATACACAAATAAAGTTCAGTCTGACATTTTTTTCATTCATATACTTGTTCCTGAATATCTTTGCAAAACAGCATTTCTTTCATAGTTTTGGTGCAGTTTTCGAATTGTGGGAAACAAAGATGATTTCATTGTTTTCCTAATATAAATTTATACCAATACATTTCTCAGACCAATCAAGAACAAAGATGGGCCCCTAAAATTCTGGAGATTAATTTGAATGTTGCACTTAATGCGGAATAGTTTGAGAATTGACATTTGTAATTTTGGAACTGCATGTGGAACGAAATTAACTAAAATAAATATAGCAGTGGCATCTGGGTAAAACATACTGCAACATGGCAAATCTTCATACGCAAATACCAGAAAAAAAGGAAGCATTTTTATTACAACAAAACACTTCTCCCCAAGAATGTGGCTTTACTGTTTCACGCATGCAACAGAACTTTGAATGTAGGACAGCACCTTGACTGAGAAAATAGGGCGCAGATTGAAGGGAGCTAGTGGGCGTTTGCAGCGAGGGTGGGGGTGTATGGTTAGTTGGCTCTCAGACTCTGCCTTAAGGGGAGTTAATCTGGCCCTTCCTTTCAAGATCTAGTTCTTCTCTCCAACCCATCCATCACCACTTCTGATAGACCACAATTTCTCCCAAACACAAGACCAACCAAACATTAATCACTCAGTAAGTACTTTTTAAATAGCTCACATTAAGCAGCACTTATTCCCAATTAAATTACAAACAATTCTATAAACAACACAGAAAACAATCTTGACAAGTCAATGCATCAAACAGCCCATGTTGCTATAGCGACCAGCTGCTGCTCCATCACTCTCATCCGGCAGCAGGAGGCGGTACCTGCAAATTCTATTACTGAACGCCCTGGCCCAGCTTCAAAGGGAACTACAAAGCACCTAAAGTGTGAAGTAGAATGATTAAAGCTGAAAAACGGGCCAACCAGACCACTCAAGTTAAACATTATAAACCTGAGTACCCACCTGAAGCTATGGTAGTGATATAATACCACCCACTGGCCTGGATACTTTTACAAACAAGTGGATAGAAAGAAAACTTTACTACTACATTATGTAAACATATTTGGTAAACACATTAGCTGACTCAGTAATGTTTAAAATTTGCATAACATTCCTGAAATTCCTGTCATTCTAATGCTATTAAATCTGGGATGAAAAGATTTACACTGTGAGTTGATAAGTCTATGGTGCTATATGTTCACAGTACACAGACATTGTTTGTGTAATAACATCACAGTATAATTCATGAGTTATGAAAGGACATGCAGCCTAAAGGGACAAGTCTCTGGTTTGTTTCATGATTGGCAATCACACGTGCATCATTTGTCTGTCACTCTCCATTCAATTCAAGATACTATATCCAAGAATACAGAGGTGTCATTTGGGAAATCAAACCCAGAACATGTTGGCTGTCTACTAAAAGTCTACCTAAAAAGG